TTATCCCATCAATCCCGCTGCCTTACCCCCTTTCATTTTGCCTACTGCCTCACGAACTTCCCCCACACTCACAACTGGCTCTTCCTCACTCCTACAAGATGTTATTCCTCCTTGCCCTATACACGAAATCACAGCTTCCCTATCTTCATCAACATTTAACAATTCCTCAAAATATTCCTTCCATCTTCCCAATACCTCTAACTCTCCATTTAATAACTCTCCTCTCCTATTTTTAACTGACAAATCCATTTGTTCTCTAGGCTTTCTTAACTTGTTAATCTCACTCCAAAACTTTTTCTTATTTTCAACAAAATTTGTTGATAACATCTCACCCACTCTCTCATTTGCTCTCTTTTTACATTGCTTCACCACTCTCTTAACTTCTCTCTTTTTCTCCATATACTCTTCCCTCCTTGCATCACTTCTACTTTGTAAAAACTTCTCATATGCTAACTTTTTCTCCCTTACTACTCTCTTTACATCATCATTCCACCAATCGCTCCTCTTCCCTCCTGCACCCACTTTCCTGTAACCACAAACTTCTGCTGAACACTCTAACACTACATTTTTAAACCTACCCCATACCTCTTCGACCCCATTGCCTATGCTCTCATTAGCCCATCTATCCTCCAATAGCTGTTTATATCTTACCCTAACTGCCTCCTCTTTTAGTTTATAAACCTTCACCTCTCTCTTCCCTGATGCTTCTATTCTCCTTGTATCCCATCTACCTTTTACTCTCAGTGTAGCTACAACTAGAAAGTGATCTGATATATCTGTGGCCCCTCTATAAACATGTACATCCTGAAGTCTACTCAACAGTCTTTTATCTACCAATACATAATCCAACAAACTACTGTCATTTCGCCCTACATCATATCGTGTATACTTATTTATCCTCTTTTTCTTTAAAATATGTATTACCTATAACTAAACCCCTTTCTATACAAAGTTCAATCAAAGGGCTCCCATTATCATTTACACCTGGCACCCCAAACTTACCTACCACACCCTCTCTAAAAGTTTCTCCTACTTTAGCATTCAAGTCCCCTACCACAATTACTCTCTCACTTGGTTCAAAGGCTCCTATACATTCACTTAACATCTCCCAAAATCTCTCTCTCTCCTCTGCATTCCTCTCTTCTCCAGGTGCATACACGCTTATTATGACCCACTTCTCGCATCCAACCTTTACTTTAATCCACATAATTCTTGAATTTACACATTCATATTCTCTTTTCTCCTTCCATAACTGATCATTTAACATTACTGCTACCCCTTCCTTTGCTCTAACTCTCTCAGATACTCCAGATTTAATCCCATTTATTTCCCCCCACTGAAACTCTCCTACCCCCTTCAGCTTTGTTTCGCTTAGGGCCAGGACATCCAACTTCTTTTCATTCATAACATCAGCAATCATCTGTTTCTTGTCATCCGCACTACATCCACGCACATTTAAGCAACCCAGTTTTATAAAGTTTTCTTCTTCTCTTTTTTAGTAATTGTATACAGGAGAAGGGGTTACTAGCCCATTGCTCCCGGCATTTTAGTCGCCTCATACGACACGCATGGCTTACGGAGGAAAGATTCTTTTCCACTTCCCCATGGACAATAGAAGAAATAAAAAAGAACAAGAGCTATTTAGAAAAAGGAGAAAAACCTAGATGTATGTAATATATATATATATATATATATATATATATATATATATATATATATATATATATATGTATATATATGTATATATATATATATATATATGTATATATTAATATGGTGTCTTCAAGACTAATAAGACACTCTTAGTAATTTTAATGTGTACCTGCATGCCAGCACAGTGTGTAAGTTTACTTAGGTACAGGTACACATACGTATCAGTTATAATAATAAGAACATAAGAACATAAGAACGAAGGAACACTGCAGAAGGTCTACTGGCCCATGCAAGGCAGGTCCAAGTCTCCTACCAGCTTAAGCCAATGCACCCAACCTAGTCAGGTCAGGTCACATTGACTTAAGGGAGGAACACGGCAACCGACCTGGTAGCACAAGCTATCAGGTCCAACTCACACCCACCCACATCCACTCATGTATTTATCCAACCTATTTTTAAAGCTACACAACGTTCTGGCCTCTATAACTGTACTCGGGAGTTTGTTCCACTCATCCACAACTCTATTACCAAACCAGTACTTTCCTATATCCTTCCTGAATCTGAATTTTTCCAACTTAAAACCATTGCTGCGAGTCCTGTCTAGGCTAGATATTTTCAGCACACTATTTACATCCCCTTTATTTATTCCTGTCTTCCATTTATACACCTCAATCATATCCCCCCTAATTCTACATCTTTCTAGAGAGTGCAGATTCAGGGCCCTTAGTCTATCCTCATAGGGAAGGTTTCTGATACATGGGATCAACTTTGTCATCCTCCTTTGTACATTTTCCAGAGAATTTATATCCATTCTGTAATACGGTGACCAAAACTGTGCAGCATAATCTAAATGAGGCCTAACCAAGGATGTATAAAGTTGAAGAACAACCTGAGGACTCCTATTATTTATGCTTCTTGATATGAAGCCAAGGATTCTATTAGCTTTATTGCGAACACTTATGCACTGTTTGTCTTGGTTTCAGATTACTGCTAGCCAGAACTCCTAAATCTTTTTCGCAATCCGTAATATTAAGATCTACATTATTTAGTTTATATGTTGCATGGTTATTGTCCTGTCCAACATTTAGAACTTTGCATTTGTCTATATTAAACTGCATCTGCCACTTCTCCGACCACTGCATCAGTCTATTCAAATCTTCCTGGAGTGCTCGAATGTCCTCGTCAGAATGAATTCGACGGCCTATTTTGGTGTCATCGGCAAACTTGCCGATTGTCGCTCTTTATGCCCTCATCTATGTCGTTTATGTAGATTGTGAACAGCAGGGGGCCCAACACTGACCCCTGTGGAACACCACTCGTGACGCTTCCCCACTCTGATTTCTCCCCATTTATGCAAACACTCTGCTGCCTATTTGTCAACCATGCCTCTATCCAGGAAAAAAATTTCTCCTCCTATTCCATGTGCCTTAATTTTCCTCAATAGTCTCTGATGTGGGACCCTGTCAAAAGCCTTACTGAAGTCCATATACACAATATCATATTCATTACCATGATCTACCTCCTCAAATACCTTAGTGAAAAAAGTTAATAAATTCGTAAGGCAGGAACGCCCCTTTGTAAAACCATGCTGAGATTCGTTGATTAATTTATGCTTTTCAAGGTGGCTACGAACTGCCTCGGCAATTATTGATTCCATAAATTTTCCCACTATGGAGGTTAGGCTTATTGGTCTATAGTTCGAAGCTAAGGACCTGTCACCTGCTTTGAAAATAGGTATCACATTTGCCATTTTCCACTTATCTGGCACCATGCCAGTTTGTAGTGATATGTTGAAAAGATTAGCCAAAGGTGTGCTAAGCTCCTCTTTACATTCCTTCAGAACCCTTGCATACAGTTCATCAGGGCCTGGGGATTTGTTAGGTTTTAATTTATCTATTTGCCTAAGGATGTAGGGATGTATTCCACCTGGGCTACATACCTACACCTACCTACATAGCTACACAATATTTAATGCGGCCCAGAGCCATATTATTACCATCGACATACCATGTTCAATGAGTTTAATCGTTTCTAACAACTACCTTTAGATGCCATCATACACAAAGGGAGAAGTAATGAATAATTCATGCCGAGAATTGTAAACAAAAGTGTAATGTATTAAGGGGAGTGACGTAATGTTTTCCCTCTGCCCGGCAACCACACCTCCATAGTATATAAACATAAAATGTTTATATATTATGTAATGTGTTTCTTGTATAATTTTGAAGAAAATATAATAGATGGATTAATGAAAATGTCTATATTGACATAAAATTAGACAATTAACGTGCCCAAGAGTGATTATTATTAGTACAGTGGACCCCCGGTTAACGATATTTTTTCATTCCAGAAGTATGTTCAGGTGCCAGTACTGACCGAATTTGTTCCCATAAGGAATATTGTGAAGTAGATTAGTCCATTTCAGACCCCCAAACATACACGTACAAATGCACTTACATAATTGGTCGCACTGGGAGGTGATTGTTAAGCGGGGGTCCACTGTATTATGTAATGTTTTCCCTTCACCCGGCAACCACACCTCCATAGCATATAAACAGCATGTTTATATGCCATGTAACGTGTTTCTTATATAATTTTGAAGAAAATATCATAGATGGATTAATGAAAATGTCTATATTGACATAAAATTAGACATTTAATGTGCCCAAGAGTGATTATTATTACATAATAGAGATTATTATTATTATTATAATCAAAAAGAAGCGCTAAGCCACAAGGACTATACAGCTACATAATAGAGAGATGTGCTCATAATAGAGAGATGTGCTCATGGAGAATGTAAACAAACCAGGTTGGCCGTGCCGTATTTGAAAGACCACTTGCTGTATAGAAAGTTTTGGTCATAATTTGAGATCGCCGTATTAGCGTAATGCCATAAGGCGAAATGCTGAAAAGCAGGGCCCTACTGTATTTATAATGAGTTGCTCAAAAATGAATATTAAATACATGTATTTACACATTTGAAAAATGTCCATTTTTTTATTAACGCTTAACAAAACTTCAAGGGTGCATGGCTACCCAACGTTATTTACATCCATCTTCTTTTATCTTGAAAAAGAGATGTTTATACCTTAAAAGTGAACAGCAGTGTTAAGAAAAATAATTTAATTTCTCTTGGTAAAATCTTTGATTCTACTAAATCAGAGTTTTCACCACAAAAAACAAGGATCCCAAAAATGTTGACAAACTTTTAAATTCCTGCACTGTATCTAAAAATCTATTAATAAATGAAATCTGAGTAGTATATAGCAATTTGTATTTTGAAGGAAAATGAATATGCAGTGGTTATTATTATTCCCAAGTTTTTAAAAATAATTTTAACTTACTTGATCAAAAGCAGGGAAAATGTAATCTGCAAACTGCAGTTCTGCAATTGCAGTGGCACCACTCACTGCAACTCCTATGGCAAACCCTGCAATTCCTTGTTCACACAGTGGAGTGTTGAATACACGATCCTTTCCATACTTGTCTTGAAGACCTATGGTGCATCGGAAAACTCCTCCAAAACCAACATCCTCCCCAAATACCACTGAAATATTTTTATATGTAACATATACTGTACTAGAGCACATACTATAATAGTGACAAAATTTTCAAAGGCAAATTAGATCAAGAATAATATAAACAGATCATACATATTGAATTAAAAAAAATTGTATTAAGCAATCCTAGACAAACTGTACACATATAGAGTCATACTACAGAGCACATATTTGCTTGAAAACTTAATAATGTAATGATTTACTCCCAAATTATAACTAACTTAATTTGGGAGCATGAACTGAATAAAATAACGGAGGAAGATTGTCTGGGTACCAGTTAAAAAATAGTACGACTGTTTAAAAATTTAAAAAAATCTTAAGTACTATATGTACTGTATACCTAGTATAGTGCTGTACACACAATTTGCTTTACAATAAGCATCAAAAATAAACAAGTTAAAAAGTACAATTTAACCAGGCTGTTACTGTTGACTGCATGCAACCCGACATACGAACCACAGCCCAGCTGGTCAGGTACTGACTTTAGGTGCCTGTCTAGCGTCTTCTTGAAGACAGCCAGGGGTCTATTGGTAATCCTCCTTACGTATGCTGGGAGGCAGTTGAACAGACTAGGGCCCCTCACACTTATTGTGTTGTCTCTTATCATGCTAGTGGCACCCCTGCTTGTCATTGGGGGATGTTGCATCGTCTGCTGAGTCTTTTGCTTTCATAGGGAGAGATTTTCAAGTGCAAGTAAGGCACTAATCCATCTAAGAGTTTCCTAGTGTATATAATCATATATCTCTCCTGCCTGATTATAGGGAGTACAGGTTGAGGAACTTCAAGCGTTCCCAGTAACTGAGGTGTTTTATCGCAGTTGTGTGTGCCGTGAAGGTTCTCTGTACATTTTCTAGGTCAGCAATTTCACCTGCCTTGAAAGGTGCTGTTAGTATGCAACAATATTCCAGCCTAGATAGAACAAGAGACTTGAAGAGTTTCATCATTGGCTTGGCATCCCTAGTTTTGAAGGTTCTCATTATGCATCCTGTCATTTTTCTAGCAGATGTGACTGATACAATGTTGTGGTCTTTGAAGGCGAGATTCTCTGACATTATCACTCCCAGGTCTTTTACATCAGTTTTTCATTCTACTGTGAGGTTGGAATTTGTTTTATACTCCAATATAGTTTTAATTTTCTCATGTTTTCCATATTGGAGTAATTGAAATTTCTCATCACTGAACTTCATGTTATTTTCTGTGGCCCATTTAAAGATTTTGTTGAATTCCGCCAGGAGTCTTGCAGTGTCTTCAATGGAGGACACTGTCATGCAAATTCAGGCGTCATCTGCAAAGGAAGACACGGTGCTGTGGCTTACATCCCTGTCTATGTCAGATATGAGGATGGGGAACAGGATGGGAGCAAGTACTGTGCCTTGTGGAACAGAGCTTTTCACTGTAGCCACCTCAGACTTTACTCTGTTTACTATTACTCTGTTTTCTATTTGTTAGGAAATTATAGATACATCTACCAACTTTTCCTGTTATTCCTTTATCATGCATTTTGTGCACTATTACACCATGGTCACATTTGTCAAAGGCTTTTCCAAATTCTGTGTATACTACATCTGCCTTTTATCTTCTAGAGCATCAGGGACTTTGTCATAGCGGTCCAGTGGTTGGGACAGGCAGGAGCATCCTGCTCTAAACCCATGTTGCCATGGGTTGTGTAACTGATGAGTATCTACAGTAGATGGGTGGTGATCTTGCTTCTTAGAACCCTCTCAAAGATTTTTATGATATGGGATGTTAGCACTATCGGTCTGTAGTTCTTTGCTATTGCGTTACTGCCCCCTTCGTGGATTGAGGCTATATCTGTTGTTTTTAGCAGCTGTGTGACGACCCGTGTCCATGCTTACTCTCCATGGGATGTTAAAAGCACATGACAGGAGCTTCTTGCAGTTTTTTATGAACATGGAGTTCCACGAGTCTGGTCCTGGGGCAGAGTGCATGGGCATGTCATTTATCACCTTTTCGAAGTCATTTGGCGTCAGGATAATATCAAATACGTTTGAGTCTACCAAGTTCTGTGTACCTCTCATAAATTCATTTAGGTCTTCGACTCTCCCTCTGGTTAGCGGCTTGCTAAAAACCGAGTCATACTGGGACTTGAGTAGCTCACTCATTTCCTTGCTGTCATCTGTGTAGGACCCAACTCGTCTAAGTAGGGGCCCAATACTGGAAGTTGTTCTCGACTTTGATTTGGCATAAGAAAAGAAATATTTTGGGTTTCTTTCAATTTCATTTATGGCTTTTCGTTTAGTATTGTAATAATTGTTTCTTACAACTGTCAATATTAACCAGATTTAGAGTAAACCAATGAACTAATATCTGAAACAAAATTTATTAGGTTATTTTTATATTATATGTAGTAACCCTATGCAAATTTTAGGGACAACTGTATAGTGTATGATTTCAGTAAAAGCTGTGATACACCTTGGCTGGTAAGAAAAGGTATTTAGTTTCTGACATTTAAGGCAGTACTCTATTAATATCTTTTGCAGCTTACTAACAGAAAATAATCACAGCATTTAGTAATGGCTAAAAGTTATTAAAAGATTTGAACTCAATTTAATTTTGCCTGGCTGCATTAGTCCTGGGAATTTCTTTCCCAGGAAAAAAAAAAAAGTTTTTTTTTCTTTGTATCTGACCCATGTTCTGCTAATTTATCGTGCAGGGTGTTCCTCATGGTTACTCTTCAGATGACTTTGAGTGTTTTCCCCAGTCATTTCACTTTGCTGAAGATAGCTTAAGCTGAAGGATATAAGAAAGCACTAACTTGGCTAGGAAATCAATATGAGTGGAACGAATTGCCACAGTACTACTATGGGTAGCTTTAAAAATGGATTGCACAAATATATAAATAGGAATGGTTGGGTGGAAGTAGAATCAGCCAAGCATGTACCAGTAACATGCTACTATGACACAAGTGGTGGAAGTTTCAGGTTACTGTGGAGGGACTCAAATTATCAAAAGAATTACAAGTGAAGAAAACTATAATACATTATAGGTATTCATGTGCAGATACCTCACTAACATTACAAACTTCTAAAAGAATAATAATACTCATAATACCAAGAATAGAATAATTAATTATTAATTCACAATTTGTGAGAAACTTTCAAGAAAATTTTAATTCATCTTGGATGAAACATCATCTTTATATAGAGGTTTACTCTGCAAATAGTGTCTTCTTGCAAGACAAGAAAATAGACTAAAATGTAGCCTAAAGTTTCCACTCCAAATTGTGGGTTACCTTAATGGAGAATCACAAAATTCAGATTAAGAAACTGACCAGCAGTGTTGTCTGTAGCAAGGGCAGTATCCAAAGCATTGTTGATGGACTGGAACAAATTCAACCTCTGTGTTTCACCTGTTAATAAGAATGTTCACATAATATTGAAAGCAATCCTAAAAATACCTACCAATAAAGCAGCAAACAGAACAAAAAAAAACAATATACACAGGCATGATGCTGAGAGGTGTGGGAATAGAGACAATATACAGAGCAATAAAAGCTTGCTCTGTATATTGTCTCACCATACCCAAGGAAAGAAACATTAAAGTTTAAAAAGGAAATACCATACACAAATATACTTTTTACATGCATTTCAAAAATTTAGTGAAATATTGTACTTAGGAAAACTAGCAAAAATGTTTCAGAGCAGATTGAAACTTCTGACATATTGCAATTGTAAAATGTTCAAACAACAAAAATGGTCATAAAAAATTATATAACACTACTGTATATGATAAAATACAATTATTCACAGCATTATACATGAGAAATCAAGCAAACAGCAACAGACACTACTCTAATCAATCAAGTTTATTCTCTATAAGGATTACAATGCTGAGTTTACAGAATTTGGATATTGTGTGGTTTACATGTTTTAAAATACTAATTACAGAGGGGGCCACTAGAACACCTAGCATGGCTAGGCATTTCGGGCAGACTTAGATTAATTCTTAACTTTAAAATATTACAAATTATGTGGTAAGTTGGTATTATGGTTAAGTGACTAAATACTAGTTTGTGAGTTTTGCAATGTGAATACTTTTGTTTTTGCACAATACATAGTTTCAGTATTGGAGTATCACAGGCCAACTTATGACTAGTCAGGATTCATTATTTTAAGATTAAGATTGATATTTCTGTGTTTATGGTCAAGTGGGTGAGTGAGTGTAAGTGTGAGCCACTAGGTGGTATTCATGTAATTAGTTGAGGGGTGTATCAGGGAGATAAGATGTTTTCTAATGGTAGTTTTGAAGGTGATGAATGTGTCTGCAGTTCTAGAGTATTCAGGGAGGGTGTTCCAGATTTTAGGGCCTTTGACATACATTGAATTTTTGTAAAGGTTTAGTCGGACATGGGGAATGTCATAGAAATGTTTGTGTCTGGTGTTATGAGACAGTTTGCTTAGGAAAAGCTTAAAAACTGTGCAAATGAAAGTATAAAAGGGCCAAAACTTACAAATGAGTGGCATTCCTAATTTTTCAGTTACAAGTTGTTTGTATAGAAAACAATAGTTGTGTTTCGCATATACATTCATACTCAGATTAAGCAGTTGTAAAACTTTAACTGATTCTTAAATCCTTTGATTTTAAGGGAATGTATTCCAAGTTTATTTAAAAAATAAAATGGTCTCAATCTCATTATGTAGAATGTGCCAAAATATAATAATGTAACTTGTTAATCAATTACTTGTTAATTCAATTACATACTGCTAAACCACTACTACCTCTGTTAAAATATAAAAACAATGTTCAATTTGTAAGTATAGTCTGCAAAAAATGCCCGGCATGATAATGGCTTTCTTTGTACTTTGCAAATCAAAATTGTAATTACACATTGTAAACTATGCAAAGAAATAAAATCCTTAATCCTTATATGCTTTCTACTAAATCTGATAAAAAGTATTTTGCTTTAATAGAATGAAACTGTTTGCCATAATTAAAAAAAAAAATTAACATGGGTTATGCTTGATAAGGCATTATGAAAGTACAGTACATTATTTTTCCAAGTCAAAAATTTATTTCATAGATTATATGCACAGATATGTTACAAATTATTTTTAAGCGATCAATCCCAATGGGAATAAGTCACTGACTGACATTTTTTTTGGGTTATCCTTGATAATTTACACATACATTATTTTGTAAAACAATAAGAATGCATAGGCCTACAGCAATAACTCGCTTTACCTTTTCCTAGCATACTCCTTTTATAGTTACTGATTTTCACACAGTTGACTTACTTGGCTGTTTTTACTTTTATGCTTTAAATGAGAGGATATTACAAGGACCCCAATGGAAATAAGTCACTCTTTTCTACTTTTTTAAGGTTATCTTAGGTGATGTACACTATATATGATAACTGTACTTATGTATACCTGTGCCTAAATAAACTTACTAACCCTAAACAAATCTATTAACGTCTGAGGGGTGAGGAGCTGGAAGGTAGATGACTTGTGCTGTTGCAGCTGGACCAGGCATCAATCCCGTTAATTTATTCAGGTATTGGTACACATAAATAGTTACATAAATTATTATACTTAGCCGCATATCTACAGATTACCTAGGACAACCCAAGAAAGTCAAAGTGACTTATTTCTATTGGGGTCCTTGTACTCATTTCCCCCCCAAAATCGATTTATTATTATAATAAAAAAGAAGCGCTAAACCACAAGGGCTATACAGCGCTGCCCCCCCCCCCCCACCCCCCAAATCGAGACCGGAAGGAGGCATTCTGGAGCCATAGGTCTACTGTGGAGTCGAGTCCTGCCTCGCAGTTGCCTCTTGAATATAAAACCCTGTACAATCATGACAGCTGCAGTATAATATTCTATCTCTGATATGTGCTTAAGTAGTGTGAGTTTATCCTCGAAACTGGGTACCCAGGTGTTATTGGCACTTATTATATTATGTAGCTTTAAAAAACTTACCCATGGATTCTGGCACAGTGTCAGGAAAATAGGAGAAATGAGAAGAATATCTGCTAGTAAATACATTGCAAAGGGATGGAGCCACAGTTGGCTTCAACACTCGCTTTAATAATGGCAAAGCAAGTAACATTGCCTCGCATATCCTTCTTCTTCTGTTGGGGTTTCAGGACCACTGACAGCATACGCCGTATCGAGCCCGGCCGTCCAGTGCTAGGAGAGGGAATATCGACCAAAGTGGAAGAATGTCTTGACTAATATCATATGTCTCTGATACGTCCTGAAGCCAGCAGGAAGGAGCAGGTACAAGCCAATATCTCCCCGTTGAGGAGGACAGGTAGAGTGAAAGTGTGCACCCCAAGTGTGCGCAAGGTCGCACGGAGAGTAGTCCGTGCAGAGTGATAACGTGGGCACCACAGCAGGAAGTGTTCCACCGTCTCAGGCTGTGAGGGACACCACTGGCAGTACGGAGAGTCCGTCATCCGAAGACGATATAGATGAGCCGCCAGTCGCGAGTGCCCGACTCGAAGGCGAGTCAGTACAACGTCCACCGAACGGTTGGGATGGCGAGCCCAAGGGCAGGGGCCATTAAAAGTTCGGACAGAGCCCAACGCCGAAGAAGAGAGGGAGTGTGCAAGGCCCTCTTGCCACTGATGACGGATTCCCTTCCAGACAGCCCTTGTGAAATCACTGTGGCCCAGGGCAAGAGGGGTAACAGTAGGAAGTGTGTGTGCGAGGGAGGCCGCCCGATCTGCCACTTCATTGCCCCAGATTCCAACATGGGCGGGAACCCACTGAAGGGAGATGCTCCAACCTGGGCTCCGCAAGAAACGCAGGAGGAGAGATTGTGTCTGACGAACGAGGACGCGCAGTGATCGTGGACGGGCAGAGCACAAAAGTGCCAGGGAAGATTGGGAATCAGAGAAGAGGACCAGTGGTTGTGAGGGAATGTGATCTAGGACAAAAGCCAGAGCCTGGTGAATGGCGAAGAGCTCCCCTGCCAGAACAGAATGAGCAGGGTCCAACCGCCACGTTTGACACAGGGAGAGATTAGCGAAGAAGGCCGCAGATGATGTGGAAGGGGGGGAAGGACCGTGCCTAGTCATCCGTGTAGACGGAGAATGAAGAGCCATTTGCAACAGAGCGAAACTCTTCAAACAGAAATGTAACTAACTGAGGGGGGTTCCCTGTTCCTGTAGTGCCAATCCAGGTGGATGTATCGTGTCAGGTCCAGCCAGGGGGGTGCCGGAGAATGGAGAGGGGAGGGAGTCACCACAAGTGCAGGAAGAGTAAGGCAGGTCAGGGAACGCTGGGCCCTGGCTACAAAGGAAGGCTGAATCAAACGTGGGGGGACAGAGGCTGTCTCCCACATCTGTGAAGAGAGGCGACAGAGGTGAGTACAAGGCAGAGAGGCCATATGATGGAGTCGTAAACAGTTCCTCGATGTCCTCACCGACGAGAGAGGGACTATCCCCGACTCTGCCTCCAAGGTTGCGATAGGGGTGGAGGGGAATGGCCCCAGCATATTACGGATGGCTGAATTCTGGAGAATGTCTAAGCGATGAAGAGAGGAGGAAGAAGCCGATTCATACACCTCACTCGCATAAGTGAGCTTGCTGCGAACCATAGCTATATAGAACTTATGGAGGTCTCGATCCGCCCCCCACTTGGTGCCAGATATCCGGCGCATAAGTGCAATGCGACGTGCGCACGAGAGGTGGAGGGCCGCTATGTGTTTCTTCCATGTCAAGAATGGTGCATCTAAGGTGACTCCCAACCAACGATGAGAAGAGACCAAAGGGATTGGCGTCTGATTCAATGAGACTGATGGAAGAGTGGGGAGTCGGCGTCTAGTAAAGCATAAGAGCTTGGACTTAGTGTCACTAACCTCCAAACCCCAGGTGGTGGCCCATGTTATGCATTGCAGGGCACCCTGAAGCGTTTCCTGTGCTGTCAGTAAAGCTGGGGCACTGCACATAAGGGCCACATCATCCGCATATACCAGGGTATGCACTGAACATTAGAATGGTATAAAATACCGACAGGTTGTTAGGTAAGACACATATGCAACAGTTAGGTATCTTTATTTCGAAACGTTTCGCCTACACAGTAGGCTTCTTCAGTCGAGTACAGAAAAGTTGATAGAAGCAGAAGATGCTAGAAGACGATGTAATCAGTCCATCACCCTTAAAACAATATTGGTATGAAACAATATTGTTTCATACCATGGAACAATGCTCTTCTCCAGACTGAGGGACTGACCACCTCAAAACTTTAAGGGTGATGGACTGATTACATCGTCTTCTAGCATCTTCTGCTTCTATCAACTTTTCTGTACTCGACTGAAGAAGCCTACTGTGTAGGCGAAACGTTTCGAAATAAAGATACCTAACTGTTGCATATGTGTCTTACCTAACAACAGGGTATGCACTCCCTGGATGGAAGGGAGATCCGACAATAAGACGGAGAAAAGGAGTGGGCTAAGAACAGATCCCTGGGGCACTCCCCAGTATACAGGACAGGGTGAGGACAAAGCGCCACCCACTGCTACACGAAAGGTTCTCCCTTGCAAAAAGTTGCGCATCTAGCAGAGGGGAGCTCCTGTCAGCCCCATGCGGGCTAACTTGAAAACAATCGCTGTGTGTGATGCAGAGTCAAATGCTCTGCGTAGGTCCAAAAATGCAGCTAAAAGGAACTCCCGACATTCAAATGAAGTGTGCACAAGCTGTGTAAATTGAAGCAAAGGGTCGATGGTGGATCGACCTTCTTGGAAGCCACTCTGGTTTTCAGGCAGGAGGCCATGTTCCTCAATCCACCAAGAGAGACGAGTAGCCACCAGTCGTTCCAGCACCTTACCCAAGCAGGGCAGTAGAGCAATGGGCCGGTAAGAGCTCGGTTGGGTATCATCCTTGCCTGGCTTTAGAATCGGAACCAGAAGAGTGTTTCCACATATCAGGGAAGACACCTGTATACCATCTGGTATTGAAAACCTCCAGCATAGCTTCTGTACAGGAGGGAGGTATTATTATTATTATAATCAAGGGGGAAGCGCTAAACCCAGAGGATTATACAGCGCCTGGGGGGGGGATGTGGAAGGCATTCAGGCTTAATTTGGGAAACTGGAGCACAGATCCAATTCCCTAAATCAAGAGCCCCTCACCAACATCAAGGAACCTTCCTTGAGGGGTGGAGGGAGGTAGATGTAGTATAAATGAATAGGGTAAGTTGTCCTCCCCCGGAGAAGAGCGGTAAGAAAGTTGGGAAAGTGCCCGCTGCAGTTCATGGGAGCTAAAGGGAGATGCCAGCACTTGGCAGTGAACCTCGGGTACGGCAGGTGGCAAAGGGCCCCATTTGATCATCTTAGAGGGTAGAGGAGGAGGAGGAGGAGAAAACATAGGACCGAAGAAATTTGCAAATGTCCCAGCCTTGTCCTGGGGTAAGAGTGGAGTCGCTCCTTCCCCCAGCAGGGTTAAAGTACTTACAGAACGTGATCCCAACATGGAGTGGAAGAAACCCCATGCCTGACTGGCAGAGGTACGAAAAGAAAGAGAAGAACAGAATAAAGCCCTGGATGCACGTTTCGCCTGGAGGAAGGTTCGCCGACAAAGAGCGTCTGCCCTTCGGTAAGCCAACTGCTGAGTCCGAGAGGGTTGGCGCCGCTACCGTGCCCACGCTGTCCGACGCGCCTTCACTGCTCGGAGGCACTCATCATTCCACCATGGAACCCGGGGCCGTGAACGGGAGAAGCTCCCGGAGAGACAGAATGAACGCGAGCCCACCTCAAGCATGGCCCCTTGCCGAGACGTGACAGCCTCGTTCAGCAAGGAGTCCTGAGGCAGGCTGTAATCAACAAGTGCCCGATTATAGGTTGTCCAACCAGCCTAGGTGATTTTCCACCGTGAACGAACTGCCGTCACCGGCACTGCTAAGGCTTCATTTGTAGAAGTAAGTACTGGAAGATGGTCACTCCCCATGAAGGGGCCTACAGTAACAGTAGCTGTAGTAAAATATCCACACCCAAGAACGAGGTCTAGGGTAGAAACTCGCCCAGTATAAGGATCCACTCTAGTCTCCAAACCTGGTGGCGTGAGCAACGAAAGGTGAGATGCAAGGTTTGGAACAGGGCCCTACCTGTGGGATTCACCGATCCCAAAGAAATGGATGGCTCCCAGAACTGATGCCTTGCATTAAAGTCTCCCATGACAAGCGTAGAACCAAGGAGTTGTCCAAAGTAATAGGTAAATTCACTTTGCGTAACCGACCTGCCCGGATTATAGATCTGGAGTATGTTGCACCACTGAGTGCCCAAGGCAACTCCCACAGCCAGAGTTTCCAACACTCCACTCTCATAGGCTTGGAGAGAGAGGGTTGTACTCTGGAGCCTGTTGCATACAAGAAGAGCTAGGCCACCTCCGCTCCCTTCAAGGCGATCCCTACGGTAAACAGTGAAACCAGGCATCCGAAAAGAATGTCGAGGGCGTAACCATGTCTGAGAGAGACCCCACCACCAGTGGCTGTACCTCAGCCAGATACCTCTGAAGGTCTGGAAGCTTCCCCAGTACAGAACGTGCGTTCCAGAGAAGAAAAACAGAGGGGTGAGAAAGGTTCACGTGTGTGAACTAAGCAGGCCAATAAGGCAAGGGAGAACCGAGAGACATGCAGTCACAAAAGAGGTGCCCTGGAGGTAAGAATGTAGCACCTCCTCCACCAGGAGGAGGATAGGATGAAGGAATAAAGCCCAGGCAGGCGAAAGTGAGAAAGCGGGATCTTCAGACATGAAGGGTCCTGGAGTGGAAACAGGCCGAGGCTGGGGTCGAGGAGAATTGGGGGGGAGTCAGCTGCGAGACAGGAGGCTCCGGGTAGGGTATGATGTCCATCTGAACGAGTCGATTTGGAAACTGTACCACCTCGACGGGAGGACATGCGTTGTGGACGAGAGGGGGCATGTGCAATAATTTCCGCAATGGAAGCCGGGTCCGAGGACACCCTAATCTAATGTTGCCCCGGGGGTGGGGAATCCTCTAAAGGTAAAGAGAGGTCCGCAAGAGCCCCAAACCTATTTGTAACAGGGATATTAGCCCTCACAGCTGTGGAGTACAGATGCCCTGGCCGTGTTGGTGTTGGGGAGAATCCCTTAGTGGGGGGCACTGGAGGCGAAGGAGGCAGGGGCTGACGGACTGTGACTAGCTTTACGGACCGCAAGCAGGAGTTAAATTCATCGAGCGTACAAGACCGGGCCCTGGCTGAGTTTGCCAGATCAAGAGCCTGGCAAGACTGGGAGGTAACCTTGTGGTTCCCCTTACAGAAGTAGCATGAAGCTGGGCGGGTACAGGTAATGCCGTCTTTAACTACTGGGTGAAACCCGCTGCAGTTCACACATTTTACCTTACCACGGCAAGACAACTCTCCATGCCCGAAAAGGAAACATTTCCAACACCGGAGTAAAGGAAAAGTATAAGGAAGAACAGGAAATCTTAGATGCCAAGTCACAAATTTCGGGAGAGCACCTGAGAAACATACACGAACCATACGAGATGGGGTAAGACGATTCGAGAGGCTCCAAACTCCCCGCAAACCTAAGTCGTCACCCCCACTGTGAACCAATTCAGAGTGGATCTCCTCATCTGAGAGGGATGTAGAAATCGGTCCAATTCTGCCGTAACAACAGCCAGCAGCGAGGATTGAGGAGTGGATCTCCCAGCAAAACATTCCACCTACCCAGAACATGAATGGCATTTCGTGGCAAATTTTTAGCCAGAAAAGACTGATGATGGAGCCGGAGCCTTAGGGCTGCACCCCTACCGAGTTGTTGGACGCCCTCATCTATGCAAGCCTTGCCGAAAGGAGATCCACTGATGGCGTTGGTGACGTCCCGTGGGTTGGTGAAGGGTGTACCGCCATCCTTAGGACGCACAAGAAGAGAAAGATTATGAGCTTGAGTAGAATTCTGGACTGTGATGATGCGCGTACCACTCTTAAGAGCATGAAAGGAAATATCTCTACCAACGTGGCGTAGGAGCGCTTTGCCAATACTATGGTCGGAAAGATACGCAGTAGAAGAAGTCGGTTTTAATGTAAAGAATTTAGTCCATTGTGTGGTTTGAAACCGAGTGCGGAGAGGGAGTGCATGACGTGTCGGTCTTTTCCGAGTAGAAAGGGAAGGTAATGAAGTAACATCATTAGGAGATTGTCGTTGACGTTTAGAAGTGGGACCAGAGTCGGTCCGACATGGGACGGGCTGGCGATTCGAAAATCGCCGCACCGTAGAGGGAGAAGCCGGAAGCATAGTCAAAGGAGAGCGGAGGTCAGACAAATCAAAGGAGTCAGTGGAAGCCCCGGTACCTGAAGCGGGTGAGGAAACAGCACCAGCAAGAGGTACAGGGGCCTTAGGAATATCCGAAGAGTGGCCAAAAGATGAGGCGAGGTCAGAACGGGGTGCGGTAACAATAAGGGGCCCGGGGTTAGCGGGGTCATGGATCGGATACTCCATGGTTAGGTTACTTCTTTCTTTTTGTTTTTAAGAAAAAAAAGGAAGAAAAGAAAATAAAAATAAAAAAAGAATAAAAAAAGGGGGGACCAGGGAGGGATAGTTCCTAGGAGGAATGAAAGGGCTAGAAATCTCCCTCCGTGCCCAATAGGACCTCAGCACCGCCAGTAGCACAGATGCATGGAACCCGTGCCATACCCTACCCATCATGCCAGTAAACCAGCAATCGGAGATAGCAACCTCACATCTGCCGAGCTATCTCGGTGGACAAAAGAGAGGGCGGCTGGATATCCGTCACAAAGCATACCTCCTTCGGCCACCACCCCTGGAATCCAAAAGGTGGCTTCCAGAGATATACCCGTCGCCCGAAAGACACCCAAAGCCACCCTCCGAGATACCGGAGAGGGATTGGGACATCCCCAGGCGATCTAGATTCCACGGCAAACTACGCCACCGCCAAGAACCTCAACGGAATGGGATGGACCCTGGTACCCTTTCCCCTACCCAGGAACTAGCACGCCTGTGGAAAAAATTCCAAAGGCCAAAAAAGTAAGGGCAAAAGGGAGGGGTGGGGAGGAGGAGGAGGAAAGGAAAAAGGGGAGGATGGGATAGGGAAGGGGGGATTGGGGGGTAATTAGGTTCGGTCTGAGGAAGGAGACAGACAGGTCTAATTCCTCAGACCAAGAGCCTCTTCACCACGCCAAGGAGCCCCCCTTGAAGAGGTCTTGCTTCAGAACGATCTTAACATTCAGGTACATTTGAGTTAGTATAACATCATAGGTTAATGAATTCTATAGGATTTCAAGTGTTTATTAATACTCATCAGATTTCATACTGTAAAATACAAAAATGAGAACTCTTTCACACTTCTAAAAAATATATAAATACTACTTATCAGTTACAAATTGAATTTGTAACTATATATGGCATAAAGAACAGCAACTTGCTTTATCAAAGTAGACAATATGGTAAACACTAAATACATTACATCAGTAATGTTTGTTAAATCCATCCATGTAGTTTTCCAAAATATGGATTATTTTTTTCTCCCACTGATTGGCAGAAAATTTTCATACTATATCCTAAGCAAGTTATATACCTTTCATACTGGCATAATAATATTTAAAACAATATCTTCACTTTATTAGCACCATTGACAGCTTACATCTTTGGATAAACTTGTGTATTTTTTATCTTTTAGTATATAAACATTCTCTCTCTCTCTAAATAATTTTGCCTCTTTGCGAACTGTTAAGCATCTTTTAGCACATATAATGTACGAAGAATACCATACAAAAAATTCTGCAAAATGATTTTTCTTGTGAATTACGTCTGTTTTGGTAAAAATACAGGAATGGTTAGATTTAATATCAATCAACAACAACCCTATTTGGGATTTGTTCTAGAGGCTTACATAAAAAGTAAGGAAATCAATAAGACAATAAACCTAGCTGTGAGTTATCCCAAAATATCTATCTCTTCTTCATCTTTGTTGTGATCATACTGTTGCACACTCTTCTCTGTAAGTTGTTGTTGATACAAGCACAACTTCTTCCTGCTCAAAAAGTCCACTTTTTTTTTCTTTCATTAACTGCCTGTGTTCTTTTTTGCTTCTTATATATTGCAGATGCAGATCTGGTGAAGTGTACTAAAAGAAAGATACATGAAAATTAGGGAAAAATTTAGTAATATTTTTCTTAATTTGTTTTTATCGTAGGAAATATTTAATAATATTATCTTTCTGTACCATTCTCTATGCTGATTTTGTCAGAGTTCATTATTAAGGGCCACAAACTGTCTACTTAACCTAACTTAAAAGCCTGACCCCTAAAAACAGCACTATAAAAGTGCTCATCACTGAAGTATGCTAGCCCCTTCTAAAGCTACAACTGCAAGGTTTGTCTCTTGCACTTTAGGATATCCTTCAACCATCTAAGAAGTGATTAACCCTTAAACTGTCCAAACGTAGATCTACGTTTTTTCAACATTTGAAAGTATGTAAAAAAACGTAGACCTTTTTTTTGTTTTTACATTTGAAAATGTGTAAAAAACTTGAATCTACTTTTTTTTTTTGTTATATTTGAAAATATGTAAAAAAATGTAGATCTACTTTTGGAGCACTACGCATGTGAACGTAGATCTGTTTGGACAGTTTAAGGGTTAATATACATTCTTCAGGGTTTCTTGGGGTAAATTTCCCATGACTTGTGGATGGTATCCTTGAGCCATGGGAAAACAAACGTGGAGGTTTGATCCTCCAATCTCTTGAACTGGAGAGCAAAACGACCTGGCTGTATGGTTGGATAAAAAAAGGTTAGAGAATGATATGCTGTAGGATTTGAATCTCTGCAGAGTACCTGACTCAGCAGCTCCCAGAGAAAACTGGCCTAAGTAATGGGTAGACAGTTGTGGGAGTGACTGACATCTTTACCCTAAATGGTCTCTATCACAACCCAGAAGTTCTCAATGGCCAGTCAACGAAGAAAGGTACCTCACAGTCACAAAGTCACTGAATAACAGATTTCATTGTGTGGCAAGATGCACTATTTTGTATAAAGATCACTTGAAAAATTTAGACACATGTGCAACACCTGGGTATCTTTATTGTAGACGTTTTGCCAGCCAGTGGCTTTATCAATACAAATTCTAGGACATGATTAGAAGACAGTAGAACTATATACAAAGGATGAAGTAATCAGTCCCTCGGCCTTGAAGTTGGTGTTAAGAGCACCATGGTCGTGAACAGTATACCATTCATGTATATAAAGATCACTGCACCATGCTATGTGAAAGATTTGGGCAAATGATTACTGAGCAATTCTAGGTACGTATGTTAATACAGTTAACATTACTGAGGTCATTTTTCTAGGCTTCCCTGGATATGCTTTTGGTGTGGGCATGTTATCAGCACTCATGCACATAGATGGCTTCTACTATTTCCTTTTGTTTGATGCCTTGCGTTATGTAACCCAATGGTCTGTGCAATAATCTTTTTGGTCAATGACTTACTCCTGCCCATATTATTTGTTAATAACCAAAAATGTCTGACAAACTCGGCCCTTGAAACCACAAGGCACATGGGGACCATGGACACAAAACTGTCCACCAAACAAGCCTAGAAAGAACTTAGAATCCTGAGACAACCCACTATGAGTTGCCAGGCCATAATAACTGCCTGATCCAAAAACCTACCAGGGTATGGTATGACTTTAATGATGAGCAGTGTATCACTCCTCAGGATGTGACCAACAACAGTCCAGAGAATTAAAATGAATTCTGCATAAATTACATGAATTCTGCCTAAAACAGAGCCGAGAAGTGTAGAGCTGGAGTGATGGTGAAGTGCTCTAGATTGGGAAGGAAGAAAAACAGCAAAATGAAAAGAATTGAATAGAATGAAAACTACAAGGAACCACAGAAGGCTGTAACCAAAGGTCACATAATGCTGATGTCAAGCATATAGTATATATAATGTAATCAGTTCATGCAATTATCTGGTAGATGCTGCTTATGCATTAGCTGAAACCAAGACACTGAACAAAGGATAATTAAAATAACAAAGAGAGGAAAGAACAAAATTAATGCTGACAACTCTACCAACAGAGAAAAATATACAAGGATTTGGAGTGATAATGGCATTTATCTTTAATAAGTTAGTTCAGATAGATTTTATGTATTGCAACAGCTGATAAGCAGCTGACTAATGTGGAAACTTTAAAGATAACAAGGCAAGTGCACACATGCACACACACAAATGACTAGTATTTACACACACACACACACACACACACATGCAGTACAATCTAAGCACAGAAACAAAGTTCTAGGAATAACCATTATCCTACACCTGTCCTCTGAAGCATACATAAAAAGAACATTTAGCAGCAGAAGCACACGATAAGCTTGCAAGTGTAAGCCTGACATTCAGGAAGTTAAACAAAGACTCATTGAAGAATCTATGCCTTGTCAGAACTAATGTTGGCCCTGCACATAGAAAATACAAGGAAAACTCAAGAAAGTACAATGGAATACTGTACATCAAAACTGGTACCTGAGTTAAGGAAAAACAAATTGTGAATTCAAAGTTCTAAGTACAATGGAATACTGTACATCAAAACTGTACTGATTAGGAAAAACCAATGTATCAAAGTTCAAGTCTGCACAGAAGACAAATGAAATAAAGAATACAATCACTTATGTAAGTTGGAGCAACCCAAATCAATAGGTAAAACAAACAGGTAATGAATGATGCTCAATTCAATGCATGCAGATCATAAACAAGACAAACAGGTAAAGATGATTTGAAGGCATGCTCATAAGGGAAAACAAGATGCCAGTGTTGAAAGGTAAAGTAAAAAAAAAAAAAATGCAGCACTGAAAGGATACTAAAAAAAATTTCCTAACAAATTTTCTTCATGGAATAAAAGAGAAAGTGTTTAATATGGAAACTTAAACACATTACATGCAATATTAAATACTGCAGAGAGAACAGTACAAGCACAGTTCTGCTCCTGTAGATAGAAACAGGTACAATAATCACCACACACTACCTATATGTAGAAAAATATTTTTACTAAAAAAAAAAAAAAAAAAAAAAAAAATAGTTACCTTTTTCCTTGTTTTGTTTTGCTTAAATTTCTGAGTAGCATTCTTTTTGGAGCTCCTGGTATGTGAAGACAGGTGAGTCATGATTAGCGGATCATGTCTAGGAAACCTTCTTGAATGTTGAGTCTTTGTGAGTTTTAAGTTGATGCCCTCACTCATGTTAGGTCTGTCTTCAACTTTTCCAACTCCCAGGATTTTGTGTTCATTTGAGCTGCACTGTAAACTTTCATTCCTCCTTAAATAATTCTTATTATTGTATTTTTGTAATACTTTACCATACTGAAAAAAAATAAACTTAGCTTAAAAATTTTGTTACATAAAATGTTATAACTTCTTTCTACTTTCAACAAACTGGCCATATCCCACCAAGGCAGGGTGGCCCAAAAGGAAAGACAAAAGTTTCTCCTTTTAAATTCAGCAATATATACAGGAGAATGGGTTACTAGCCCCTTGCTCCCGGCATTTTGGTTGCCTCTTACAACACGCATGGCTTACAGAGGAAGAATTCTGTTCCACTTCCCCATGGAGAAATTTTTATCACCTCTATGTAACATTAAATTTATTTGTATTGCTGCACGTTATAATTTGTTATTTTTATTAACTGACTACAATCTAACCTATCCACACACAGCCTAAATAACTGAAATCAAGAAATTTACTGACAACAATATGCAAGAAATTGACTTAGAATTTGAAGGCCAACTTGGCTATGCAAAAACAACTGATCAGGTATGGAGTTAATAATGTACTTTACTATAAAAAAATATAAAGCAGGAAAACCAACAACAATATGCAATAAGTGGGGTTTAAACAAAGAATAAATTACATGCTATATAACTGTCTTACCTTGTTAATGGGTAATCTGCTTGTAGAATTATCATCAATGTTATCTAGCCCTCTTAAATAAAGGCGTATTCTTTCTAACTTTTCATCATCTAGACTAGATATTAAGTCAGTATCACCTGAAGTGAGAGAAATATCTGGTGATGTGGAACTGAGAATATTTAAAAGATTAAGTTTTTCTCGAATACCCCAAGACTGGGAGAGCATAACTCCTATTCCTTTACCGACTGCCCACTGTTCACTGCTATCAAGCTCACTCCTGGTAACAAAAACAAATAAGTATTAAAAATATCTGCCCAACTCTTCCATATAAAAACTGATTTTTCTGTTCATTTAGTCACAATGAATTTAAAAAATAAGTAAACACAAAATCATTTACATGCATAACTTGGTATATTTTTATATATAAAGAGAATTTAACTAGACAGTATACTGTTTTTCATATAAATAAAGCTAGAAGATTCTAAATTTGAAGTGTGTAAAAAATGGTATTATTAATAAACCATTTTTACACAAGGTCCTTATTAAGTCTTAACAAGTGAATAAATCTTTCAACAAACCGGCTGTATCCCACCGAGGCAGGGTGGCCCAAAAGGAAAAACGAAAGTTTCTCCGTTTAAATTTAGTAATATATACAGGAGAAGGGGCTACTAGCCACTTGATCCCAGCATTTTAGCCGCCTTTTATGACACACATGGCTTACGGAGGAAGAATTCTGTTCCACTTCCCCATGAAGAAGTGAATAAGTAACAAAAAATATATCATTAAAATAAAAAACGAGAAAGGTACTAGAGATGAAAACAAAGCAAACTGTGAAAACGATATTCTTGTAATGATTAAGATAATGTAGCATAAAATATACATACATGTATATAGAGAAGCACAAAAAAAAAAGCAGATTGTGATAAATAACATAAGAAGAAATTGTTTTATAATGTTATATAGAGAATGAAGTGACCAGCCCTGCTTTATAAATCATACTAGTATGTTCATGAATGACAATCTAGCACCAGCTGAACAAAGGAGAGTATTAGTTCTGACTCACTGTAAATTGAGGATACAGTCAAGTGGGATGAGCAGCCATGTTGCATTTGAATCACCCCATTCCTCAAAAGAAGGGTATACAAATAAGATGGAAAGGCTGTTTGTATCAGAATACAATAGCACATAATGGATTTTTCCAAATCTTTGATGCACACACACACATATCAGATAACTACAATCTAAAACACTGAGAAGCAAGAAGTCTCATCTATTAATATTTTTTATTTAGGTTTCTGATATTTACACACAAATTTTAAAGCATCCTAAAGTTCACATTTATATATTGTATAAAAACTCACCATTTCATGTTACTATCCAATATATTGGAGGTTTTTTTTTTCCTAGGAGAAATGCCATTTTCTTTAGTGGATGCCTTATACTGCTGATATGTGGAAGGTAATTGTTTCTTATGAGGAACGTCAGCAATGGAGTGAAATAACACATTATTATTGGATGAGAGCTGGGATGATGTCGCTAGAGGAGACCGAAGTACCTTTGTACGTTTTCCTGGGTGACTTGCCCTCTCTTCACATCCTTTAATTTCTGCCTTTGAATTCAATTTACTGATACTCTCTTGTAGTAAATGTCTAGAGGAATGGGCTTCTGAGTTCTGTAACTCTTCACTGAACACATTATCAGGCAGTATACAGCTTAAAGATGCAGAGACCACTGAACAGTTCGCAAGACTTGAAAGCATGTGTAATGAAGGGGAAGTTGAAATCTGAACATCTTCCAGATTTTCCAAAAAACAATAAGGTGACTGAGGAAGTGCACATGAAGTGAGAGTTAAGGAAGAGGAAGATGGACTTAACATGTTACTATCTTCACTGTGAAAGAAATTGATGTCTTCCTTTGCATGTAGTGAACTGACTGGAGACAGTACGGCAATGTCATCTGAAAAATAAGAATTACTGCTGTACAGGCATTTATAATAAACTATGTATTATTAAAAGATCCTAAAAACATGATAGGCATAATGGTACTTGTTAAGGCATATAATTAAAAGTCAGAATGAATATGAACATTAATATGGGAGTATATCTAACACAAAGAAGCAAATTCTTTAGTGTCAGGACGTTTTGGAACCACATCTATTTACACTACAGTTTAAAAACTGTAGTGTAAAGCACCCTTCTGGCAAGACAGTGATGGAGTGAATGATGGTGAAAGTTTTTCTTTTTCGGGCCACCCTGCCTTGGTGGGAATCGGCCAGTGTGATAATAAAAAAAATAATATCTATTTACCCACCACATGATTCACATGCTGTACATAAAACCTTGCATGGTTCTTGCAGAGCTTTTTTAGCCACTTTAGTTAGGAATACATGCAAACTCAAAACTTCACCTTTCCAGATCAGTTAAACTAGTAACATTTGACTGAACTAGAAATCTACAAGTGTTGTATCTGATCTGGCAAAGAATATAAAAGAGTTACACAAGTAATTAAGAAAAGCTTCTTTAAACAGACTGCAAATCCACTAATAGTTGCTACACAAAATATATACTTATGCTTAGAAGACATGCAGGATCTTGTAAAAAACTATAGAAAAAAAGAGGCACACCAGGACATAGAAAAAAAAAATGAGCTATGTACAAAACAGAACTAGAAGGAATGATTAAAAATTTTAAGGCAAGAACTAGAGGCAAACTGTGTTCGATAAGAAATCACAATCTGCATAATCTAAAAAGAATGTCAAATTAGCAACCCAGATTAATGAGACTGCAGAATTAGTCTGTACAGATGGAGCTACACAAAGTTATAAAATATGTGAAAGCGGTTAACCCTTTCACTGTTGCAACCCCCAACATTAAAAAAAATATTTTCTGAAATGGTACAAAATCTTTTTTTTGTTGGTATAATGACACCAAAAATGCAAAATATGATGGAAAAAACTTATGGAATTATGTAGACACAAAGTTGGTGGCCTGGGTGCATTCCGTAATTTCACACAATTTGAATCCAACTTTAACCCTTTCAGGGTCCAGAGGACAAATTGCAAAGGGTGCACCTGTGTCCAAGAATTTAAAAAAAAATAATTTGTTATTTTTTCTTATGAAATGGTAGAGAAACTTTTTCTGAAGGTAATAAAACAAGAAGTACGAAATTCGATGGAAAATTGACGAAATTATGCCCTTGCGAATTTTGATGTGTCAGCGATATTTATGAATCGGCGATTTTGCCGAATTTGACTCCCATTTTAGGCCAATTACATTATTCCAGTCGACCAAATTCTTAGCTATTTCACTAGTTTTACTTCTATTCTATCGATTGAGCACAAGAAATTGCCCAATCAACTGTTTCAACTACAAAATAAAGTGATTGGAAATTGGTAATTTGGCCAATTTAACACAAAGTTCAAAATATTCCAATTTCAAAATAGGGTCCAGAATAAATAATGTAGGCATTCCCGGCACTAAACTAACATTTCCTCTGTTCATTAGTTATGTTTTCAGGCTTTACAAATGAATTCCATTTTGATTTTTTATTCACATAATGAATTTTTATTCAAACCAAAAAATAGATTTACTGTTGTGCAATATTGTAATAAGTGTATAAATATCATCATCAGATTTGTGAATGTATATTAGACCCACCAGCTGGCGTGTATCAGACGTGTGAGGTCGTTTGTTTACTCTTGAACACGGACAAAAATTTAACATTTCCGCTACTTTGAGCTCAGTTTCAAGCCATTTCCAGTACTAAAATCAATCAAAATCATCTACATTTCTGTAATATGTCTTCCAATCTATCAAATGAGACCAAGAAATTGCAAATACAACTATAAAAAATATACGATAAAACACTACAAAGTCGCTGTTTTAATAAAAAATCACGGTCTCAGTTTTTTTTCTCATTATACACTGTGTGCTGCAGGATTTGTTTTATGTGGTGCACACATACTACATAGATGTATTCTCTCATATCTAGGCCCAAATTTACCACTCACAGCTTATCAGAGTGAGCTGAGCTCATGGCATAGATCTACGGTCTGGACCCTGAACGTGAAGCCGTAGATCTACGGGACGGACCCTGAAAGGGTTAAGACAATTCCAAAGCTTAATTCGGTCCAATTCCTAGCTATTTCACTAGTATGCCTTCTATTCTAGTGATTTAACACAAAAAACTGCCCATTCAATTGTCTGAACAACCATATAATGTGCACAGACTTTGGTAATTTGGCCAGTTTTGCACAAAATTAACCTTTTCAGGGCTTCCGACATACTAGTACGGCTTACGCGCTAGGGTTATTGACATACTAGTATGTATAAATTCTAGCACCTTCAAATCAAGCAGGAAAAGGCTGGTAGGCCTAGATGTGAGAGAATGGGTGTGTGTGGTAGAAAAAATCTGGGACCTAGTGGTGCATTGTGGGAACGCCATTTTAGTACATCTTGTTCACCATGCCTCGCGGTAAGAAACTCCTCACTCCTCGGCGAAATGGGACACTTTTGTTCCCCAGTGAGAGTTCTAATACAGATGGAAGTGCCAGTGAAGATGAGTTTCAAGATTCTGTGCATGGTGGTGCCAGCCATGAGGCACCAGCAGTGGGCCATGCTGCCATCCACACCACTGCCTCAGCTGATCTACAACAAAGGCCACCATCCCCCACCCACCCACCACACCAGCCTCCACAACCACAACCTCCACAACCACAATCTCCACAACCACAACCACCTGTCAATATCCAGTACCCACCAGCAGACCACACCTGGGATTGGCAGGAAGCTGACAATTTTGTTCCCAATCCTAATCACTTTGATGAAACTCTAAGTGGAATATGGTCATCTTGTACACTTGGGAACAATGCCACTGAACGGGAATGTTTCCAGTTATTCTTTGACGAACCCCTGATGAAAATTATTGTCAGGGAATGCAACAGATACTTCGAGTACACCATGGCAAACGCAATACTTTCACCAAAATCATGCCTTCACTAGTGAAGGAGACAACTGTGGCTGAGAAGTATCTTTTCTTTGCCACAATAATGCTTATGCCACATGTGTATAAGCACAGTGTCAAATCATACTGGTCAGCAGACCGTCTGATTGCAACCCCAGGTTTCAGTGATATAATGCGAGTGAAGCGATTTGTGCTACTATTACGTATGCTTCACTTCTCAGACAAAACCAGGCCTGACATAAACAACAGGTTATATAAGATTAGGAATGTGTTTGTCTATCTGAAACAGAAATTCAATATATATTTTTATCCCTTCAGGAAACTTGTTACTGATGAGTCTTTGATTCTGTTCAAAGGAAGACCCTCATTTAAGCAGTACATACCAAGCAAAGGTGAATACAGGAAAGAGTAAGGTTATGAGGATAACAAAAAGATTAGGTGATGAAAGATTGAATATCAGATTGGAGGGAGAGAGTATGGAGGAGGTGAACGTATTCAGATATTTGGGAGTGGACGTGTCAGCGGATGAGTCTATGAAAGATGAGGTGAATCATAGAATTGATGAGGGAAAAAGAGTGAGTGGTGCACTTAGGAGTCTGTGGAGACAAAGAACTTTGTCCTTGGAGGCAAAGAGGGGAATGTATGAGAGTATAGTTTTACCAACGCTCTTATATGGGTGTGAAGCGTGGGTGATGAATGTTGCAGCGAGGAGAAGGCTGGAGGCAGTGGAGATGTCATGTCTGAGGGCAATGTGTGGTGTGAATATAATGCAGAGAATTCGTAGTTTGGAAGTTAGGAGGAGGTGCGGGATTACCAAAACTGTTGTCCAGAGGGCTGAGGAAGGGTTGTTGAGGTGGTTCGGACATGTAGAGAGAATGGAGCGAAACAGAATGACTTCAAGAGTGTATCAGTCTGTAGTGGAAGGAAGGCGGGGTAGGGGTCGGCCTAGGAAGGGTTGGAGGGAGGGGGTAAAGGAGGTTTTGTGTGCGAGGGGCTTGGACTTCCAGCAGGCATGCGTGAGCGTGTTTGATAGGAGTGAATGGAGACAAATGGTTTTTAATACTTGACGTGCTGTTGGAGTGTGAGCAAAGTAACATTTATGAAGGGATTCAGGGAAACCGGCAGGCCGGACTTGAGTCCTGGAGATGGGAAGTACAGTGCCTGCACTCTGAAGGAGGGGTGTTAATGTTGCAGTTTAAAAACTGTAGTGTAAAGCACCCTTCTGGCAAGACAGTGATGGAGTGAATGATGGTGAAAGTTTTTCTTTTTCGGGCCACCCTGCCTTGGTGGGAATCGGCCGGTGTGATAATAAAAAAAAAAAAAATACCAAGCAAGAGGAAACGCTTTGGTATAAAGTTATTTGTGCTTGTAACTGCTACAGTGGTCTTGTATTGGACATTATTGTGTCCACTGGAAGTTATACATTGCAAAATACCAGGAAGTTATTGGGCATCTCTGGTGATGTGGTTAGAACAATAATGGAGCCATATCTTGGTAAGGGGCATATATTATATACTGATAACTGGTACACAAGCCCCTTGCTCAGTGATTTTTTGCGAGTGAACATGATAAATGTGTGTGGCACAGTGCATGGAAATCGTAAGCACATGCCCAGGTTTGATACTGGCACTTGTAGAGGTGAGGTGCAGGTGTTTGCTGCCAATGACATCATGGCATTTCGGTGGCATGACAAACGAGATGTCACACTGTTGTCATCAGTTCACCCTAACGAAATGACAAGCACTGGCAGGCAGAATGCACACACCAATGAACCCATTCTAAAACTTGCAGCTGTGATTGATTACACCCTCTATATGCACTCAGTGGACAAATGTGACATGCAGATTGGGTTTGCTGATTGTGTTCGCAAGAGTTATAAGTGGTACATAAAACTCTTTCTATATTCTGGACATTTCCATGCTCAATGCTTATAATATGTACAAGATGAGGACCAGAAACAAACTACCATATAGCAAATTTTGTTTGTCTGTCATCAGACAAATAGTATTCAAGTACCAAGGAACAACACCTGCAATAGAAAACCGTCCCACTTAAATTATCAACAACCTATCATTCCTCTGTCTAAGACATGGTGATCACTTCCTAATAAAACTGCCTGCTACTACCTTTCAAGAAAAAGGCTCTAGAAGAGTTTATCTGTCACATATCAAAAAAACGACAAATGCCCACAACAACGCAGAAACACACGTTTTATGTGTGAGGAGTGTAAAACCTGCTGTGCATGACACCATGTTTCAAAAACTTCCACAGGCTGCAGAACTTCTAGAAACATGTCCTCTGACTGTATATGTGTATATAAAATATAGAAAAATAGTAATAAACAACATTTCATATTGTTCGTTTGTGTAAACAAGTTTTGTAAACAATACAGTGACAACAGTGTTTGTGCAGTTATTGTGTAGTATAGAAAGAGAAGAAACTTACAAAATAGTGTTCATATTGGTCTCACAGGCCATAAAAGTTACTTAATAAAAAAAATTAAAAAGTAATAGAAAAAAGTAGAAAAAAAGTAAATAAAAGATTACCGGGTGACCGGCAGTCGGCGATGATGCCCTATGCAGCTCATTTTCTGTCAACTTCATGCCTCCATATCTCAGTAAGTATTGATGGCAAAAAAAATCTTTTCATAAGAAAAAATATTTTTTTTTTTTTTTTTTTAATTTTTTTGACCCTGAGAACAAGTCTGGGAGAGGGCCTGTCAACCCTGAAAGGGTTAAAGAAAAAAATTCAAAAGTTAAAAATAAAGTGTAAACATTCCAGCCACTAAAGCAACAGTTCATCTGTTCATTAATCATGTCACTAGGCTTCTCCTATACAACATTTGCCCTCCTTAATGAATTTCTCACACATAAAATCCATTTTACTCCATTGTCAGATAATTAAATCTAACCAAGAATGATTGGTCATGGTTTTGGCCATTTCAATAATTGAAGCAATAACTGGCAAGACAGTGATGGAGTGAATGATGGTGAAAGTTTTTCTTTTTCGGGCCACCCTGCCTTGGTGGGAATCGGCCAGTGTGATAATAAAATAAATAAAATAAAACCTAGTACAACCCATAAAACAGACTGGAGGATCTTGAGAGGGGACTCTCTTATATATCCCCAGGAAAAAAAATGGACAAAAATTTAATACTGTATTTCTGATACTTTAAGCTCTATTTCAAGCTACTTCTAGTCTGAAACAACCAAAATTATCTCTATCACAAGAGTATGTTTTTGATTCTATCCACTGATAATAAGAAACAGCTAATAAACCCATAAAAACCACCATAGAAAATAACTCTAGGCTGATACTTTTAATCAAACGCAAGGTCAGAAGTTTGGTTTTCCCATCATGCACTGTATGAGGCAAGAATTTTTTTATACTGTGTACACTCACCGCACACACATTCACTCGTTTCTAGGCCAAAATTCACCACTCACAGCATATCTAAGGGAGCTGTGCTTAAAATGCAGATCTACATGAATGACAAGAGCACCAGTGATGCACAACTAATCTACATGGGAGACAGTGAAAAGGTTAAAGTTTTTTTTACCACCATCAAGAGGAAAAACAAAGAGGTCACAACTGTAAATTATGGAAATAGTCCATGAATTGGACACATGTAAAACTAATCATTAAGAAAAATCAAAAGGCAAGAAGACAGTGTTCTGAATCAACATCAAGGATCATTTAGGATTGTCATACCATAGATTATGAAAAAATAAGATAGGTTCAGATATTTAACCTGGAGGGTTAGCCACACAGGATAACCAAAGTTAGTGCATCATTGAGGACTGTCTTATTTCCACTGGGGTCCTTTAATCTTGTCCCACAGGATGCAACCTACACCAGTCAACTAACACCCACATACCTACTTACAGCTAGGTGAACAGGGACAGCAGGTGTATGGAAACACCCCACATTTTCACCCATACCTTTGATGAATTCTGATTCTTTCTACTCCTGGAGCCCGGCCATGGGCCAGGCTCATCTGGTGTTTGCCTGGTCAACCAGGCTGTTGTTACTGGTGGTCCACTGCCCCACACAAACCAGGATTGAACCGTGGACACTCAGTGTGAGAGGCAAGTGAGAAATCAACCGAGCTGAGGGATACCTACTGAGCCACAGAATACAGACTAAACTGCTCTTGGGCACAAAAATGCATCAGGTGATTTCAACACCCACTCACATCCTACAGGTGATGCAGACTTTCACTTAGAGTACTGCCAGAGAGGATCCCACCTCACTCCATCTATATACATATAACATCCTGTCACTCTACTCCTTTACAACTTAACAAAGCCCACTTTGCAGGTAAAATTTGGTCTATAACAAGGGTTTCCTCTGCACCAAGTATTTTTAGCACATAAAAAATACTGGTATCATTAGGGACCATAAGATCTTGTCAAATAAGGCACTTATAGACTAATAACACACCTTCAAAACAAGTCTCTAACTCTGTTTCAAACAGATTTGTCTGTAGAATATGTTCAGTGTCCCAAACAAAAAAGTTGTCATCAATTACTTCTGGAGGAATAAGTGATGGAGCAATGTTTGCATCAGAAATTTCACTGTCCACTCCCGAAGAACAGTCCCAACTGAAATGAGAATAATTTTTACTCCTATATATACAATACTACATTCTGATAAAATATTGTTAAAAACTTGGACAAACAGTATGCACCTGTCAAACATTTAAATTAAAGCAAGATCATTGCCTACCACACAGACTAGTAAACCATGAACTACAAAATATTCTCAAAATACAAAATGACTTCTCAGATTGACAAAATTTATGTTCATAAATACTGAATCTATGGCATGAAGAGCTAAGCTAAGTGAAATTATCTTTCATGCTTAACTTTTTTAAATATAGTTTGGCTTCTACCCAAGCCTTCGTCACAGAACATTAAGTGGAGGGAAGAAAGAGGATGGAAAGGACTAAAAATAAAACTGAAAGTTACCTAGTGTCAAACATATCTGACGTGCTCATTGTTTCTAACGGCAAATCAGGAGATAAGAACGGCATGCTGTTTAAAGCAACACACCCTAGTCTTTCACTGGACATTATCTGCAATGGGAAAAAGTGGTTCTCTAATTAGCTTTATCAATACAAAATAGAGGTCAATATCAAACTCATGGATACAGTATGCAGTTTTTATGTATTATTACCTATTTCTGCTGTCAAGAGCCCCTAGTGGCCCACACTAGGAAACACTCGGTGTAGGAACAGGAACACCATCACTGCTCCTTTAGGTACAGTACTTAAAAAATTGAGCACACCTATGATGCTTATGTTTTCTCTGGTATAATCCTAACCAGGTCAGTTGGAACCATTTTGGAGGTCCTAGAGTTTTGGTTGAAATATGTGTCAATGACATTTTCCCCAGCTGGCATAAATTTATGACAGTGGCAGCTGAATGGTTAAAATGCACTAAAAATTCCATGTGCAGTAAGTTATAATGATGTACAGTAGAACCACAAATTTTGAACTTAATCCATTCCAGGAGCTAGTTCTAAAGTCGAAAAGTTTGAGAGGCGAAGCAATATTTCCCATAAGAAATACAGGTCTCCCTCAACATTCATGAGGGTTAGGGGATCAAGAGCCTCGCGAATGTTGAAAAACTGTAAATGTTTGGTGCCCAATATATTGTAGGGAAATATAATACAATACTGCTTCCTTAACTTGTTGAACCATGAACAATCATAAAATACATGAAACCGTCATAAATTGTACTAAATACATACGTTATGCCTTAACAACATGTATGTTATAAAATACCACTGCCTCCACCACTGCAAGTCCCTACTACCCTCCCTCCGACCCCCCACAACTGACAGCCAGCCCTCCCACCAGTGTGGTGAGTGTTTTGTTTGTTCATTATTTGCTATTAAACTACAGTATAAATAATGTCAACCCATTTATGAGTGCATATTGGAATGGCTATTCAGACAGGTATTGGAAGGTGACATCATGTGTTTACTCTTGAACACAGCAAAGAATCAAACATTTGTGCTACTGCTAATAATAATAATAATAAAAATAATAATACATATTAATAATAATAATAATAATAAATACGATAGAATTGAAGAAGGAAATTGTACAAAAATACGAGGGTTGAAGCAGTGGTGGAGGAAGTGGTTGACGCATCGTCAGTGTGGCTTTGTTTATGCTGGAGTATTAGTCTCCGTGCTCTTCCAAACATTTCACAATAATTCATTGTATTTGATGCTTGTAGATTGAGTGTGATTGGAGTGGTTGAGGCAGTGGTTGAGGCAGTGGTAGAGGCAGTTATAGAGGCAGTGAGTGAGGCAGTGAGTGAGGCAGTGGGTGAGGCAGTGGGTGAGGCAGTGGTAGAGGCAGTGATAGAGGCAGTGATAGAGGCAGTGATAGAGGCAGTGGTAGAGGCAGTGGGTGAGGCAGTGGGTGAGGCAGTGGGTGAGGCAGTGGCAGAGGCAGTGATAGAGGCAGTGGTATTTACTAACATATATGTTATAAATAATAATAGTACATGTTAATATTAATAACATTTATAATAATAATAAATGTTATTCATAATGTACTATTATTATTTATAACATATATGTTAGTAAATATCACTGCCTCTACCACTCCAGTCACACTCAATCTACAAGCACCAAATACAATGAATTATTGTGAAATGTTTGGAAGAGCATGGAGACTAATACTCACCCCAGCATAAACAAAGCCACACTGACGATGCGTCAACCACTTCCTCCACCACTGCTTCAGCCCTCGTATTTTTTTACAATTTCCTTCTTCAATTCTATCGTATTTATTATTATTATTATATTAATATTATTATTATTATTATTATTAGCAGTAGCAGAAATGTTTGATTCTTTGCTGTGTTCAAGAGTAAACACATGATGTCACCTTCCAATACCTGTCCGAATAGCCATTCTAATATGCAGTCATGGATGGGTTTACATTATTTATACTGTAGTTTAATAGCAAATAATGAACAAACAAAACACTCACCACACAGTGGTGGGAGGGCTGGCTGCCAGTTGCAGGGGTCGGAGGGAGGGTAGTAAGGACTCGTGGCGGTAAACTTAAATATGATTTGCCAGCTGGGAATTTGGTGGTTGGGAATTCGCGAATGTGTGAAGCCCGCGAAAGTTGAAAACGCAAATGTTGAGGGAGACCTGTAATGGAAATACAATTAATCTGTTCCAGAAACCCAAAATATTCACAAAAAAATACATTTTATAGATAGTATTCCATTATAGTTTTACATACACACAGCAAATATAGTGTACAATTATCAATAAATTTAAACAAACATATAAAATAACATTTTTACTTACCTTTATTGAAGATTAGTGATGGCATCTGGAAGATAGGGAGGAGGAGAGAGGGAGTTGGGGTTAGTGTTTGGAAAGGGAATCCCCCCTCCATAAGGACTTTATGTATCAAAGCCCTCTCTGGGGTTACTTCCCTTCTCTGTCTTTTAATGCCACTAGGACCAGCACGAGAGTCACTGGACCCCTGTCTCACAAAATAACTGTCCATAGTCCTCTGTTTCTGGTGCCTCTAAGATTTCCTTAAAATGGGACATGGTTCTGTCACTGAACTTGTTGCAAAGATGGCTTGTTTCAGCTTGCTCAGGGTGGTACTTCTCCACAAACATTTGGACATCATTCCACTTGGCACAAATCTCTAACACTATCATCTGCCATCTCTTTATCCTTGATCCACACCAGCAACAACTTCTCAACCTGATCAGTTGTCTGTGGTCTTTTTTTGGTTAGCATATCAACACCTTTCACAACATCAGCTTCCTTGATTTGTTCTTTTTTTGCCAGGATAGAAGCGATGGTTGACTTGTTATTCCCGTACATCCTGGCAAGGTCAACAAGTCGCACACCACTCTCATACATCTGTATTATTTCCTTCTTCACATCTTTGGCATTTCTAACTTTCTTTACCACAGGGGTACCACTAGCAAGCTTCTTTGGGCCCATGGTAGCTTATTTCACAGTCCCACAAGCACTAAACACAGTGAATTAATTGTAAAATGTTTGAATGAGACTGCAGGTTAGTGTTCACTCAAGCATCAACAAAGCCAGACTGGTTCACGGCGCCTGCGCGGGGAGGCAGACAGAGCGGGCTGGCGGACAGGTCCAGTACCCAGTGGCTCGAAAGAAGGGGCAAGCTCGATAATAGGGACAAAGTTGGTTAAAAAAAAAGCGGTTGAAAAGCAGAGAGTTTGATAAGAGATATATTCAAAATTTGAGGTTCCACTGTATTACATTCAATGTATACAAATAAAGGAATAAACAGTCATTTCACATGCAAATATTTTGGGAAGTGTTAGCTAAAACAAAAACTTTATTTTGGTGCAAATGCTGAATACTGCATCATGGCAAATAAACAGAAAACAAACATATGATACTTTCATCTATGTTGATAACAGAGTAATTTTTATAATTTTTTTATTAATACATTGGCCATTTCCCATCGAAGCAGGGTAACAGGAAAAATGAGAAACACTCATCATCATTCACTCTATTACTGTCTTGCCAGAGGCATGTCTACACTACAGTTAAAAAAAAAATGCAAAATATCAACAACACTCCTTCAGGGTGCAGGCACAGTACTTCCCACCTCCAGGACTCAAGTTCGGCTAATTGGTTTCCCTGAATCCCTTCATAAATGTTACTTTGCTCACACTCCAACAGCACATCAAGTCATAAAAACCATTCATCTCCACTCCTATTTATCACGCTCACACATGCTTACCGGAAGTCCCAGCCCCTCGCATACAGAGCCTCCTTTACCCCCTCCCTCCAACCTTTCCTAGGATAATCCTTACCCTACCTTCTTTCTACTACAGATTTACATGCCCTCCAAGTCATTCTATTTTATCCAGTCCTCTCTAATGTCCAAACCGCCTCAACAACCCTTCCTCTGCCCTGCGGATAATGCTTTTGGAAACCCTGCACCTCCTCCTAATCTCCAAGCAATGGATTCTCTGCATTATATTCACATCACACAATGCCCTCAGACACATCTCCACTGCCTCCAGTCTCCTCCTTGTTGCAACATTCACCACCCGTGCTTTACACCCATAAAAGAGCATTGGTACCACTATACAGCGGAACCTCGTTTTTCCGCCGCTGCGTTTATCGGCAGGTTTTTCGGCGGAAATTTTGCTCTGCATTTCGGCCGTTGCCTCATACAACAGCCATATTAGATGTGTCAGCCCAGGATGCCATGTTTAGGAGAGTCAGTCTCCTTTTGTTGGCGAGTGAGCATATACTCCGTGCATTCATCCAAACATTTCCTTAAAATCCATTGTTTTTGGCATCTTTTATTAAGTGCGACTGTGAAATAAGCCACTGTGGGCAGGGGGGTGTAGCAGGCAGGCAGGGAGTGTAGCAGGGAGCATAGCAAGCATGCAGGGAAACAGGGAGTGTGGAATGGAGGCAGGGAGTGTAGCAGGGGGAGTGTGGGAGGGAGGCAGGGAGTGTAACAGGCATGGAGGGGAGTGTAGCAGGGGAATGTAGCAGGGGAGTGTAGCAGGGGAGTGTAGCAGGGGAGTGTAGCAGGGGAGTGTAGCAGGGGAGTGTAGCAGGGGAGTGTAGCAGGGAGTGTAGCAGGCAGGCAGGGAGTGTAGCAGGCAGGCAGGGAGTGTAGCAGGCAGGCAGGGAGTGTAGCAAGCAGGCAGGGAGTGTAGCAGGCAGGCAGGGAGTGTAGCAGGCAGGCAGGGAGTGTAGCAGGCAGGCAGGGAGTGTAGCAGGCAGGCAGGGAGTGTAGCAGGCAGGTAGGGAGTGTAGCATGGAGGGGAGTGTAGCAGGCATGCAGGGAGTGGAGCATGGAGGGGAGTGTAGCAGGCTTGCAGAGAATGTAGCATGGAGGGGAGTGTAGCAGGGAAGCAGGGAGTGTGGAAGGGAGGCAGGGAGTATAGCAGGCAGAGAGGGAAGTAACCCCAGAGAGTCCTTATGGAGGGGGATTCCCCTCTCTCCATAAGCCAACAAATCTTCAATAAAGGTATGTAATAGTGATTTAAATGTTTATTTTATTTAGTTCTCATTGTTTTGTGTATGTAAAACTAAAATTAATCTTTTAAAAATGTATTTTTTTTTGTGAATATTTTTGGGCGTCTGGAACGGATTAATTGTATTTACATTAATTCTTATGGGAAATATTGCTTCGAATTTATGCCAACCTTCTGGAACGGATTATGGCTGAAAAATGAGGGTCCACTGTACTCTCATATACACCACTATACTCTCCCTTTTGCTTCCATGAATAATGTTGTCTCCATACTACTTAACAGAGTAAGCATGGTTGTCTTATGTTGGGTTATGTTAAGTTACGTATATGTATATAATATTAGGTCTGGCCCTATGCCTCTACTTCACTCTAAGTGAATGATGACCTTCTATCAGGGTTGACAGACTGATCACTTCAAATTATCTCCACTTTCGCTATCTCCAGTGGTATATTCTCCTGTATCTGGCTTATGAAGCCTGTTGTGTAGGCAAAACATTTGGGCAACAGATACCTAAGTGTTGTAAATGCATACTGTTCATTAACTTGCTGGTATTGTATACCATTAATATACGTTAGGTTATCTTGTTTATCCCATTGCACAACATGAAACTTTCTCTGTAGCAGAGCCCACCTCATGCTGGACATCTTTGACTATATTTTGTCAAAATAAACTGAGAATCAGCATTAAATTATTGCTAAATCAAGTACTGCAGGTGGTCAACAATTTATCCTTATTAGGTCTGATAGAGAATCAGTATTATCAGCCTCCATTACAAAAGTGCTGAATAAATATTTTGAAGTACAAGGAGGGTGCCAAAATAAGAGTGGTGGGTATAAAATTTTCAGTCCAGTACTACCCTCAGAGAAGGTTCCTTGGTGGTGGTGAGGGGCTCTTGATCTAGGGAAATGGACTGTGCTCCAGTTCCCTGAATTAAGCATGAATACCTTCCACATCCCCCCCCCACAGGTGCTGTATAATCCTAATCATAATCAGTCCAGTATACTGTGTCAAGACAAATTTTAGCAGAAAACAAGTTAGGAATAAAGCCAAAGAATACCTAATAAATAAAGCTGCAATAAGGAAGGACATAGATTTCTTGCAGAAAAACATTCACAATTATTTTCTAACCCAGTACTTTCATTTTTTATTTGATTCACTTTTATTAACATCTATATGGGTAAAACTACAGCATGTAACTATGTGATACATGTGTCCCGTAGCTCGATTGCTGGAGCACTCAACTCACACATCGAGGTCCGTGGTTTGACCCCCAGTATGGATGGAAACATTAAGAACATAAGAACATAAGAACGAAGGAACACTGCAGAAGGCCTACTGGCCCATGCGAGGCAGGTCCAAGTCTCCTACCGTCATGTTTCCCTAAGACACCTACTGTCCCTGTTCACCTAGCAGTAAAATGGGTACCTGGGTGTTAGCTGACTGGTGTAGGTCACATCCTGGGTACAAAATTGACCTAAACTGCCAGAGATACTGTGCAAAAAAGGAGCTTTCTATAGTGTCACTGATGCCAGCTAGGCCTGTATACACTATATATACCTGTATCATTATTATTATTATTATAATCAGAAAGAAGCACTAAACCACAAGGGTTATACAGCACAGCAGTATATATACCTGTAAAAATATAATTATTATTTTTATGGACTATGGAAATACATCAAAGTGATTAAATTATTGGGTTATCCTGCATTAACCTCTACACAATTTACTATATAATATCATTATAGGTTTAAAATTAAGTGTTCATGGCTTGGTTGATAGTCCTTATCTTACACCCTGAACTGGCAACGATCCCCGGCACCCGTAAAACGTTGGGCATGTTTCCTGAAACCCGCTACTCCTGTTTACCTAGCAGTAAGCAGGTACCCGAGTGTTAGCTGACTGATGCAGGTCACATCCTGAGGGGGAAAATTAAGCAATCCCAATGGAAATAATACAGACAGTCCCCTGTGACCTTGGGTGGCTACCCTCCAGGTTAAAAATCCAAATACCTTAAATTATTCTCCCTCAGCATCTCTCCTCATATGATTTGATAATATATATGGTAGATTGATTAAACGTATACATGAATAAAACGCAATAACCCTCGCACTGTCTTGCATACGTCACTATATTCTACCACTATATTTCCATCTCCTGCCTTTGCTTTCGTCCTCGTTTCTCTTCTTTGTTACCTACTTTTGGGAATGTTACTTCTGTACCATGACAATAGCATCTCAACAATTTTTACAATGCCACCGAAATAAACATAATTTGTATAGTAACAATGGTAGTTATCCACGCCACGCGACGAGACGTTAAAGCTAATTTTTTACACTTTTACCGTGCTACTAGACAATCAAAATACATACTCTCACATTAGTTATAATGCTTCTACTGTTTATTATCCCGGTCAGCCAAAAATGTATTGCTTAGGCAGCATATATGGACACTGTAAGGCCGGATTAGTAGAAGAGGTAGATGTGTTACAGCAGCTGTGGATCAGCTGAGACAACAACAACGTGGTGGTGACGCGCACGCGCTCCCTCACTACCAACACTTCTACTACTAATAATAGTAATAATAATAATAATAAAATAATAATAATAATAATAATAATAATAATAATAATAATAATAATAATAATAATAATAATAATAATAATAATAAAATAATAATAAAATAATAATAATAATAATAATAATAATAAATATCTTTATTTCTATAAGTACATGCACAAGGTATACATTATTATTATTATTATTATTATTATTATTATTATTATTATTATTATTATTATTATAAAAAAGAAGCGCTAAACCACTAGGTATACAGTCCTAGCTGACATAAATGGCATACTACTATATAGAAAGCCGCTTGTTATGCAGAGCATTTCTGGTAAATTATGTCAGGTTTGTCCCAGGATGCGACTCACACCAGTCATTATTATGGACCCCATACCCATCTTTTGGGCGGTAGTCAAAGGATTACAGAGATACATAATGGGTCCAGGGACTGGGCCCCAAAGTTTTGATAACTTATTATTATTAAAGATTAGCCGGTATTCTCCCGGCCCGGGCCTTTTCCAAGTGGTGGCCCGGCCTTGGCTCCCTCTTTAGGGAGTGTCTGAGACCTAAGTCTCCCATGGGAGGAGGCACAAGTACTGTACCTCCTCATCTTTGGGACCAACTGTCTCCAGCCCTAGCCACAAGCTAGGCCTCTCTGGTCTGCCATCCCCGCCCCAAGGGGGCAAATGGAAATGACAGTCTTATGAGCTAAAGGCTCGGGCTCAGGCACCTACCCTACCCTAGAAGGGTTAGGCATTTATTTATTTATTTATTTATTTATTTATTTCCAATTTGTGCACACATACAGAGGTACAAAAAAATACAGATAAGAGCAGTATGCCAAAGCCACTTATACTATGCATAGCATTACGGGCTGGCTTAAAATTAACTTAAGACTAACTAAGCAATGATTATTATTATTATTATAATCAAGAAGAAGCGCTAAGCCACAAGGACTATACAGCGCTGCTACTAAGCAATGATGAAATCAGTGATAAAACATTAATGTAAACAGATAACTATAAAGCACAAGTGAGTATTACAAAGACAGGTCATATGGTTGCATTCAGTTAGGTAGTGATTCTGTTAGGTAGTGTATTTAAAAAATAATAAAGTTAGATTGGGTTTTAGGTTTAACATTTATGTGATATAATTGTGAGAAACATTTAAGATATAAAATTTATAATGTTCAGTTATTCAGTATTTATTTGGTTTTGGGTGAGTAAGTAATCTTTGAGAAGAGACTTGAATTTATAAACAGGTTGTGTTTCTTTTATATTTACAGGTAATGAATTCCAGATTTTAGGGCCCTTTTATGTGCATTGAGTTTTTGCATAGTGTGAGATGGACACGAGGAACATCAAAGAGTGATCTGTGCCTTGTGTTATGGTCATGTGTTCTGTTGAGGTTGGCAAGGAGATGTTTGAGGGGAGGGTTAATATCAGAGTTAAGTGTTCTATGTATGTAATAGGTGCAGTAATAAGTATGGATGTTTTGTATGGTGAGTAGGTTTAATGTATTGAATATTGGTGGAGTGTGCTGCCTGTAGTGAGAATTTGTTATCATTCTAACTGCATTCTAACTGGTATCGATGTTTTGATAACTTTCTTGTAATATCTTATTATTTAAACCTTAAAAGTTAAAACAGCTAAGTAACTCAATTATGTGAAAATCAGTTTAAATAAAAGAAGATACAATAGGAATAGAGTAAATTCAAATTCAAATTCAAATTCAAAGTTTATTCTCTATAAGGATTACAATGCTGAGTTTACAGAATTTGGTTACTGTGTGGTTTACATGTAGTAAAATAATAATTACAGAGTGTACCACTAGAACACCTAGCATTGCTAGGCATTTCGGGCAGACTTAAATTAAGTCTTAAGTTTAAAATATTACAAAATTATGAGGTAAGTTGGTATTATGGCTGACTAAATACTAGTTTGTGAGTTTAGCAATGTGAATGCTTTTGTTTTGGCACTATACATAGTTTCAGTATTGGAGTATCACAGGCCAACTTATGGCTAGTTAAGATTCATTATTTTGAGACTGAGATTAATATTCCTGTTTATGGTCAAATGGGTGAGTGAGTGTTAGTCTTAACCACCAGCTGGTATTCGTGTAATTAGTTGACAGGGTGTATCAGGGAGATAAGATGTTTTCTGATGGTAGTTTTGAAGGTGATGAATGTGTCTGCAGTTTTAGAATTTTCAGGTAGGGTGTTCCAGATTTTAGGGCCTTTGACATACATTGAATTTTTGTGAAGGTTTAGTCGGACACGGGGAATGTCATAGAGATGTTTGTGTCTGGTGTTGTGCCTGTGGGTTCTGTCACAACTATCAAGAAAGCGTTTTAGGTCAAGGTTAATATTGGAATTTAAGGTCCTGTAGATGTAGATTGCACAGTAGTAAGTGTGGATGTTCTGAACAGGGAGTAAGTTAAGATCTATGAAGATTGGGGGCCGTGTTGCCAGGGCTGGGATTTAGTGATTATTCTTACTGCGGCTTTTTGTTGGGTTATTATTGGCTTTAGGTGTGTTGCTGCAGTTGAACCCCAAGCACAGATAGCATAGGTGAGGTATGGAAATATAAGTGAATGGTATAGTGTGAGAAGGGCAGTTTGCGGCACGTAGTACCGTATCTTGGAGAGGATCCCAACCGTTTTGGATACTTTTTTTGGCTATGTGTTGGATATGGGTGCTGAAGTTCAGGTTGTTGTCGAGGTATAGGCCTAGGAATTTGCCCTCATTATGCCTGGCAATTAGCGTGTTGTCGATCTTAATATTAATTTGAGCATCTCCTGCTCTGCTACCAAACATAATGTAGTAGGTTTTGCCAGTGTTAAGCGTAAGTTTATTGGCTGTCATCCAAGTCGATATTTTGATCAGCTCCTCATTAACAATGGTGTTGAGAGTGGCAAGATTAGGGTGAGAGATGACATAAGTCGTGTCGTCAGCAAAGAGAATGGGGTTCAGGTGTTGAGATACGTTTGGAAGATCATTGATGTATATGAGGAAGAGCAGGGGACCAAGGACACTTCCCTGCGGAACTCCAGCATCAAGTGGCTGTGTTGTTGATGCTGTCTTTAATGGTGACATACTGATACCTATTAGTAAGGTAAGATTTGAAATATGCAAGCGCATGGCCTCTTATACCATAATGGTCAAGTTTGTGGAGTAGGATGCCGTGGTCTACTCTGTCAAAAGCTTTTCTTAGGTCAATAAAAATTCCTAATGGATATTCCTTATTTTCCAGTGCTGTGTAAAGCAGATCTAGCATTTTTATGATTGCATCGCTAGTGCTTTTATTTTTCCTGAATCCAAATTGGCAGGGGTTGAGTATGTTTTGTGCCGTTATAAATGAATATAGTCTCCTGTGCACGAGTTTCTCAAAGATTTTGGATAGCAATGGTAAGTTTGATATTGGTCTATAGTTGTTTAAATCTGTAGGGTCACCACCATTATGTATTGGTGTAACCCTTGCCGTCTTGAGTAGTTTCGGGAAGATGCTAGTTTCTAGTGACTTGTTAAAAAGTAATGAGATAGCATGCGAGAGGACATGGGCCGCTCTCTTGTACAATAATGGTGGGACATGAGACAGATTCCCTGAGTTATTTTTAAGTGACTTTATAATCTCGGTGACTTCCGTGGGTTCAGTTGGAGCAAGATAGAAGGAATTCGGGAAATTCCCATCTAGGTAGTCCCCGGCATGGGCATTGGTACCTGGGATTTTATTGGCGAGATTAGAACTTATGGTTGAGAAGAAGTCGTTTATCTTGTTAGCTATGTCAGTGGGATGCAGTGGTGTTTCATTAGGTTTAGTTAGGACAATATTCTTGGTTTTTTTCAGCTTGTGGGTCCCTAGAATCTGAGAGTGTTTTCCAGGTCTTTTTTATATCTCCTCTTGTGTCAGTGAATCTACTGGAGTAGTATATGTAAAGTAAAAGGACACAAGTGCAACAAATGTGACATTTTATTGTGGCAAAGTTTCGCTCTCCAGGAGCTTTATCAAGCCATTACAAACAATACATGCACACAGAGGGTATATAAAGGCTCAGAGTGAGGTGCAATACTAGTGAAGTACCATTTCGATGTTCACTAGTGGTAGTAGTAGTAGTAGTAGTAGTAGTAGTGACAAAAGTAATACAATATTGTAGAACAATTAATTCGTACATGAGTAAAAGGATATAAAAGCTATTACTTGGGTAACATAATATTTGTCCAACTTATTTTTATGTTACCCAAGTAATAGCTTTTATATCCTTTTACTCATGTACGAATTAATTGCTCTACAATATTGTATTACTTTTGTCACTACTACTACTACTACCACTAGTGAACATCGAAATGGTACCTCACTAGTATTGCATCTCACTCTGAGCCTTTATATACCCTCTGTGTCCATGTATTGCTTGTAATGGCTTGATAAAGCTCCTGGAGAGCGAAACGTTGCCACAGTAAAATGTCACATTAGTTGCACTTGTGTCCTTTTACTTTACATATTGTCGGTAATTCTACCAACTTTATTACAATCTGGAGTAGTATAGTTGTTTGGCTTTCTTTATTACTTTGGTGAGGAAAATGAATAGTGTTTAATAATATCTTTGTGTATTAAGCCCTGTCTATTTTGCTTTTCATATTGGTGTTTCTTATCAATGGATTTCAGAATGGTGCTGGTTAGCCATGGGCAACCAAGCCGTTTGTTTGTGATCTGTTTCGTTTTTATAGGACAATGTTTGTTGTATAGTCTAAGTAATTTGTTAAGAAAAATGTCTGTCCAGTCATCAATACCATTGGCCTTGGAGAATTCTGTAGGCCAGTCAACAGTCTCTAGGTCAGCTGTGAACTTCCTTATTGAGGCCTCATCATGGAGTCTAAATGAAACTTTGTTGTATTCAAGTGGTGGTTTACTAATGTATATCAAGAGGAAGGTGGGGTAGTGGTCTGTAGTGCTATCTGTGATTATCCCTGATTTAAAGGGGGCTAGTATATTGGTCCATATGTGGTCTATTATGGTTGCACTTGTTTCAGTGAGCCTGGTTGGTTTAGTTATTGTTGGTATGAGAAGTGTGTTGTTCATATTGTTGATGAAATCAGTTACAGGCCGATCGTCTAGTAGGCCAAGGTTGATGTTGAAGTCTCCAGCTAAGAGAAGGTGGTGCTTATTCATTTGTCTGTTTGTTATTAGTGCCTTTAATTTCTCACTGAAATTTGGGATGTTCGTGTGGGGTATCCGGTAAATGGCACCGATTGTTATAGGCGTCTTAAGGTTTTTACAGTAAAATTCCCCTCAAGGAAGGTTCCTTGATGTTGGTGAGGGGCTCTTGATTTAGGGAATTGGATCTGTGCTCCAGTTCCCCGAATTAAGCCTGAATGCCTTCCACATCCCCCCCCCAGGCGCTGTATAATCCTCCGGGTTTAGCGCTTCCCCCTTGATTATAATAATAATAATAATACAGTAAAATTAGCAAAAATGTATTCTCCATATTCATCACTAAAGCAAGTGGTGCTAATACAAGATAATTGGTTAGAGTAATAGATTGCAATACCACCCCCAACTTGGTATGGTCTGCAGTTGTGGATTGCTGTGTATCCTGGTATTGGGTAGATATCTATTGTGTCCTGCTTAAGCCAGGTCTCAATAAGAATAATGCAGGAGAAGGGTGTCTTTAGTGATTCAAGGAGTGCCAGGAGGTCATCACAATGTTTGCTTAAGGACCTGATGTTGTTTACATTAACCTTAAAAAGGATCAGCTTACAATAATAAGTACACAAATGTTAGCTGTACAAGAAATCACTCCTCCCTTTTTTTGCAACTTCATTATGTTAATGGTGTACAATCCTGACAAACAGACGAGTTCAACACATATGTAATATGGTTACATACATGGTTTCACTTATATCCAACTGAGTTGAGTATATTTACAAACTCATAGGCATATGAGTATCCAACTTAGTTGGATATACATAAGTGAAACATTTCGTCTGCTCTGCAGGCTTCTTCAGTCAAATATAGAGGTAAATCATGCAGAAATCGCGAACAAGCGATACAAGATGCGAAATAATGACAGGGGGAGTTGAGTGATAGCTCTAGACCTTTCGTGTTACAGTCAACACATCAGGAGCTTGAAATGTTGCAGAAAAGAGGAGGTCCAAGCAAATACGATCACAAGGCCTCCAGTGGAAATAAATCACTTTGTCTGACTGTTGGGTTATCCTAGGTAATTTGCACATGTTACTATGTATAATAATCTGTGTGACTGTATTTATGTGTACCTGTACCTAAATAAACTTAACTGTACAGTGGAAAAAAAGAAAAAGAAATAAATTTGTATTTGTAAGCTGTTGTAACCCTCTAAACCCTAAGAAAGGTGGAGCCGCGGTGGCCCTTAACCACAACTGCTGCAGACGACACATCTATGGTATTGCTCTCTCTTACGTATATATATTTTTGGCCTTAATGCTAGTGAAGGGCTCTTTATTCAAAGAATTTAAGTTACCCTTCTCTTCCTTGGCTCAAGTCTGATTACTGCCTATTCCCCAGGGTGCTGTATCCCCTTATGGGTTTAGCGCCACCCCATGACTAATTTAATAATATTGAAATGTTTTTATCGTTTTTTTTTTTTATGTCAGCTTCATACAGTAGCATGGATATATATAAGTGATTTCTGTTATATTACCTACAGTTATTATAAATAAACCAAAGTGATATTATAGTGACTTTAAATTAGAATGTCATTGTTAAATTTTATTTCAGTGAATTACAGGGTCATTATCTGGGTTGCCAGCCCTTTGACTTAGCAACCCAGGATGACCTATCAAAGGCAGTCATCAGACTGGGTTCTTTCATTTGGGATCTTTTTAATTCTTTCCCCAGGATGCAACCATATAACATTTGGATAACATCTACCTTCTAACTGCTAGGTGAACATGGGGAACAAGTGTGAGGAAACATGCCCTTAAAGACCCCAATTGAAATAAGTCACATTCTCTGACTTTTTGGGTTATCCTAGATAATTTACACTATGTATGATAACTGCATCTTGTTGCCAAGTTTGTCAAGGCTGGGAACCAAAGCAATTATAGTACTAGGGGAAAGGAACACAGTCAGTGGTCAGGCTTCAAACACATTTTATTGTACAGCAATAAAGGAGTGGAACAGGCTGCCTGCACATGTCAAAGCCTGTCATAGCACGAGCCAGTTAAAGAAGAGAACTAAACGGGACTTAATGAATGTAGCTACAAAAAGGAAGGAGAGTGATTTTTTTGTATAGCTAACATACATGTACATATTACAGTACTGTGATCTGAGCCTCTCTTTAATGTTAATGTAAATAAATCAGTTTACCTTATTCCTAGTATATCTACATTTATTGTAACTGCTTTTCACATAGTTAATTACCTGTTTTAACTTTTAAGGTTTAAATAATAAGTTATTACAAGAACCCAATGGGAATAAGTCACTTATCTGACTGTTTTGGGTTATCCTAGGTAATCTATTCACATGCTGCTATGTATGATAATTTATGTAACTATTTATATGTACCTGTACCTGTAATAATGTTTGTAGAATTACCGACAATATGTAAAGTAAAAGGACACAAGTGCAACTAATGTGACATTTTATTGTGGCAACGTTTCGCTCTCCAGGAGCTTTGTCAAGCCGTTACAAACAGTACATGGACACAGAGGGTATATATAGGCTCAGAGTGAGGTGCAATACTAGAGGTAGTAGTAGTAGTGTCATAAATTGTAGTAGTAGTAGTACAATATGGTAGAGCAATTAACTCGTACATGAGTAAAAGGATATAAAAGCTATTACTTGGGTAACATAAAAATAGGGTAGAGAAATATAGACTGGATAGAGAAGGCCTGTTTCAGTGTTCACTCTCTGTAATGTGCTTTGTGTAGTATTAACAGGAGAGACTATGTGATGGCAGGGTTTACTGTTTTCAGGAGGATTCTTGCTAAGACTTCAGAGATGGTGAAGCTGCCTTTGTTTTGTTTAATTCTATTCGAAACGGCGATTAGTGCTGACTCGAGGCACTTGCGTCTGCGGAAATTAGTTTCTTTGATCACTAATTGGGCGTCCCTGAATTTCATGAGATGATTGGTGGAATTTCGGTGTTGTACACAGGCGTTGTTCAAGTTATCGTTCCTACATGCGTAAATGTGTTCATTGAGGCGGGTGTCGAGGTTTCTTGCTGTTTCACCTACATAAATCTTGTCGCAGCCTCCACAGGGTATTGTGTAAACCCCTGCATTGACTGGTTCATGGTGGTTTGATTTTGTCCTGGTTAGATCCTTTATTGAAGTGCTGGAAGCGATGGCGACTCTGGTGTTAGCTTGTGAAAGTACTTTAGAAATGTTCAGTGCAACCTGGCTGTTGGGAAGAATTATAACTTTGTTAGGAGTGGTGTTGGTGCGTAGAGAATTAACGATCTGAAGAGCTCTTTTCTTGCAGTCTTTGATGAAAAAGGAAAGAAAATGTAACTCAGTGAAGGTTTGGTGAATGTATGTACATTCCTCGTCAAGAAACTCAGGACTACAAATTCGGTACGCTCTTAGGAAAAACCCGATGATGATGCCTCTTTTGGTCTTAGTATCTTGACTGGAATAGAAGTGTGTGACATCATTTTTACTGGTAGGTTTCCAATAAACTTGAAATCTTAGGTTGTTGTCTACTTTGTGAATGAGGGCGTCGAGGAAAGGTAGGTTGTTTATCAGGGATTCGGCGTCCCATTTCCTTCCATCAACTGTTAGTCTACTCCTGCACAACTCTCCAACTCCAAACACCCCTTCTCTCCAGCTACCCAAGCTTACTTAACTGAATGTGCCGAAGAACTTTCTAACATCGCAAAGGAAACCTTTGAAACTGCAAGGAATATGAGGGCCAATCTTCAGACTGACCAACACACTGCTGAGCATATTCTCAGCACAGTCACCACAGCCAACCTCCAACAGAAGATCAAACTCAATTGCAAACTTCAGTACCTCTGCACTAACAGCCGATGGAAGGAAATGGGATGCGAATCCCTGATAAACAACCTATCGTCACGCACCTTAACTGACTACGAGAAACAAGCACTGAGTCTGGGACTCAAATTTACCACCAACATATGCAAACCTAACTATCAACTCAACCTAGTTACCAGGAACCATAGACAGAGTGACAGCAACTTCCAGAAGGGTTATATACAGGGCATTCTCACTGCAGCTTTATGTGAACCTTCTTCTTCTAATCTTCCTAGACGATACATCACTGCCCTTAAGGACCTCGCCAACGACCCCAATATTATCGTCACCACCGCTGACAAAGGAGGTGGAGTCGTCATACTCAACACCAGTGACTACAACACTAAAATGATGGACCTTTTGAGTGATCAGTCTACATACGAACCCATCAACACTCAACAGTGGGAGACATTCACCAAAGACTTTCTATACAAAACCAGACAAATACTCAAACGCACTAGAGAAGGGAAGAAACTTCTGTACCTGTTACCCAGCAACCCTAAACCAGCACACATGTATGGTTTACCCAAGACCCATAAACACAATATTCCTCTCAGACCAATCACGTCAGGTATAGGCAGTGCTCCACACAAACTAGCCGGAGTTCTTGCCAAACATCTTTCCTGCCTTCTGGGGACCATCAGCCCCGCTCATCTTAAACACTCAGGCGACCTTCTCAACCGCATCCAAAACCTCTCCATCCGTAACAAAAAACTAAGTAGTTTGGACGTGACTTCCCTCACAAAAGTACCTACCACTAAAGCCATCGAGGTTCTACGACGCAAAGTCAATCAGGAACCTTAATCTTCCTCTACCTCCCTTAGATTTTGTTGACTTGGCTGAACTCTGTGTTAATTTCAACTGTTTTTCTTTCAGTAACAGGCTCTACAAACAAACCAACGACATGGGAATGGGGTCCCCCATCAGTGCCGTCCTAGCCAACTTATACAGGGAACACCTAGAGTCCGAACACTTTGCCAACATCATCCCTTCAAGCGTCACATGGTTATGTTACGTGGACGACGTCCTCGTAATAACTCCCAAACATTTTGACGTACGGAATCTTCAGGCAAGGCTCAACGCAGTTGAACCGGCAATCCAGTTTACACTAGAAGAAGAGTCCAATGACGAACTACCTTTCCTCGATGTCCTCATTCACAAAGTAGACCACAACCTAAGATTTCAAGTTTATCGGAAACCTACCAATAAAAATGATCTCACACACTTCTATTCCAGTCAAGATACTAAGACTAAAAGAGGCATCATCATTGGGTTTTTCCTAAGAGCGTACCGAATTTGTAGTCCTGAGTTTCTTGACGAGGAATGTACATACATTCACCAAACCTTCACTGAGTTACATTGTCCTTCCTTCTTCATCAAAGACTGCAAGAAAAGAGCTCTTCAGATCATTAATTCTCCACGCACCAACACCACTCCTAACAAAGTTATAATTCTTCCCAACAGCCAGGTTGCACTGAACGTTTCTAAAGTACTTTCACAAGCTAACACCAGAGTCGCCATCGCTTCCAGCACTTCAATAAAGGATCTAACCAGGACAAAATCAAACCACCACGAACCAGTCAATGCAGGGGTTTACACAATACCCTGTGGAGGCTGTGACAAGATTTATGTAGGTGAAACAGCAAGAAACCTCGACACCCGCCTCAATGAACACATTTATGCATTTAGGAACGATAACTTGAACAACGCCTGTGTACAACACCGAAATTCCACCAATCATCTCATGAAATTCAGGGACGCCCGATTAGTGATCAAAGAAACTAATTTCCGCAGACGCAAGTGCCTCGAGTCAGCACTAATCGCCGTTTCGAATAGAATTAAACAAAACAAAGGCAGCTTCACCATCTCTGAAGTCTTAGCAAGAATCCTCCTGAAAACAGTAAACCCTGCCATCACATAGTCTCCTGTTAATACTACACAAAGCACATTACAGAGAGTGAACACTGAAACAGGCCTTCTCTATCCAGTCTATATTTGTCTAACCTATTTTTATGTTACCCAAGTAATAACTTTTATATCCTTTTACTCGTGTACGAGTTAATTGCTCTACCATATTGTATTACTACTACTACTACTACTACCTCTAGTATTGCACCCACTCTGAGCCTATGTATATCCTCTGTGTCCATGTACTGTTTGTAACGGTTTGACAAAGCTCCTGGAGAGCGAAACGTTGCCACAATAAAATGTCACATTAGTTGCACTTGTGTCCTTTTACTTTACCTGTACCTGAATAAACTTACTTACATGTACCCAAACCTTAATAAACTTACTAACCTTTCCACTTGCCTGGGGACTGAGCTCGTCCTTCATATGTGAGCTGAGGCTGAAACCGAATGAACCAAGAACACCTGCATGAGCCACGAACACCCACTGATTAAGTTATGGGATTACATCTCTTGTACAGCATATTATTTGCAAAGCCCCTTGTTATGCCAAGCATTTCTGGAAGCTGAAAACTTGGTATTGTATTTATTACAATTTTGATTCATTCAATTTTTAATGCAGTTCATGTTTAATTTGTCTTTGGAGCAGAGAGGACATGATGGATGCAGGGAGGTGGGAACTAGGTCTGAGTCACGTGTGGACAGGATTGTGGGTGGGTGCTGCCCGTGCCATCACCACTCATGAATTATCTACCCGTGGCATCACTACATTAGTCTGGGCCACTCCTGAGGTTGATCCCCCAGACCTCTCTGTAAGTTGTTTTAGTTGAATGCTGCAATTCCTAGTTATAGTAATGCTGATTGTTTCTCTGTCTTTTTTTCCATTTTTTTTTATCCTTCTATGACTGTGTGGCTATGAAATTAACTATGTACATTATTTAGGTATGTATACTAGTCAGAGAGCCTGTCATAAATCTGAGTTGTCGGTAAATAAGTATGTATGTCGCTAAGTGAGGAGAGGCTGTATTATAAAATCTTCTGATGTATCGGAGCAGAAACGTATAGTATGGGCTCTCGATCATCCCTGTTTACATATTAGACCACTAAATAATGTGTAAACATGACTTGTCCTTACCTATGACGGGGCAAGGAATCTCTGAATGAGCTAAGAGCATGGGTTTGTACATAGGAGCTGCCTTGAAACCAAGTGCAAAATATTCAGGAATGATTTTGTAAGTTTTTTTTTAGCATTACAGTAGTATATGCTTCCAGCATTATCCTGTCTCATTGGCACAATGTAGTTTCAGACTGCTATTGATTATAGTACACTACAGCAGTTAAGTTTAAGGTCTATGAACTATAGCTGAAAATTTTCAGTAGCCCACAAAAAGAAGTACAGTGGACACTTGACCAATGGCATCGATCCGTTCCAGAGAGCTAGACGTTAGTCGAATTTGCCGTTAGTTGAATTTGTAGTTGAATTAATTTTCCCCTTAAGAAATAATGGAAATAGAATTAATCCGTTCCAGACACCCAAAAGTATTAAACAAAATAATTTTTTTTACATGAAATATACATTTCCCTACACAAAAAAGAATGGGACATGCAAAATTTAACAATAATTAAATGCCACTTACCTGTATTGTGGAGTTGTTGATGAGTGATGAGACGGTAGGAGGACAGAAGATGCAGGTGTTCTATTGTTTGGAAGGGTAATCCCCTTCCATAAAGACTTCAGGTACTAAGTCCTTTGGTGGGGTTACCTCCCTTCTTGGTTTTTTAATGTCACTGGGACCAGCTTGAGAGTCACTGGACCCCTGTCGCACCAAAAATCTGTCCAGAGAGCTCTGTTTCTCACGTGCCCTTAGGATTTCCCTAAAATGGGACACAAGAGTGTCATTGTACACGTTGCCAATACGGCTTGCAACAGCTGTGACAGGATAAAATCCATTGATAAATGCTTGCACCTTTGTAAACATTGTACACATTTCCCTAATCCTTGACAAAGTCATCTTCCTCCGTCTCTCTCTTCCTCCGGCTCTGAAGAACATTCCTGAGATGTGATCTGTTGCTGTTGCACCTGAGGCTCTTGCAGGTCCAAGATAGTACTGATGGTTGAATGGGATTTGTTGCATAGCCTTTCCAACTTGGACATACGCACTCCACTTTTGTATTTTTCAACGATCTCTCTCTTCATTTCCATCATAATTCTCACCCTTTTTACCACAGGCTTGGCACTAGAAGCTTTCTCGGGGCCCACGGTGGCTTATTTAGTGGTTACAAGCACTAAAAACACTGGAATAATACAAAATATATCGCAGGTACACATGGAATCGACCACAACGGCTTGTAAACAATGGCACACTGAGTCTTGGAGTGACTGGGCCCATTCAGGCCGGACGCCGTTAGATGAGGTTTTGGCCATTGGTAGAGCCATTTTTTATGCCAAAGAGCGCCGTTAGACGAATTTGCTGTTACTTGATGCTGCCGTTAGACGGGGGTCCACTGTACAGTAGAAAACCTCAAGTCGCGTGGCCATAGCTTATGTTTTCAGTATTTTGTGATTTAAATTTAAGTCAGAGGCGTCGCTAGAAATGGTGCCACCCGGGGCAGAATCTCTGGTGTCACCCAGGGCAGCATCTTTGGTGTCACCCCATAAAATTCAAAGGCGGGGGGATGGGGGGGTAAACTCCAGTTACGTCACTACTGCATGACCAGTGACTAATGTTTATCAATGAGAACGTTTAAGGGCCATAAACTGAACAGGAGAATACTTCTCAACTTTATTAATGATAAATAATCGTAGTAATATTGAGGAACAAACTCAAATACCACTTTGAGTACAGCCAACAGATCCTACATTTATTCATCTTCAACAATGCAAAATAAAAAAAAACTTGAAAAATAAAGAAAAACATTGCAATATCAGAGAAATACTAGTTCTGATCTGACCTTGAGTACAAGTAACAGATCAGTGAATCTGAACTTACATTTCCTTGCCTTCACTCCTGCAAAATCACCTATCTCATCATCAAAATCAATGATTTTCCCAATACATATAGGCTTATTTGCACAGTGAACCCCTGGTATTCGATGGCATCGGTATACGTTAAATTCGGTATTTGATACATTTTAACGCCAAAATTTTGCCTCGCTACTCGTTAAAAAACCCGCCACACGCGATTTGTCCGGGACGCGTCCACGTGAGTGCCAGTGTTTACAAGCCAGCCAGTGTGCTCGCATCTAAGCATACATTTGGTACATTCCATATTATCACAGTGTTTTTGGTGCTTGTTTCTGCAAAATAAGTCACCATGGGCCCCAAGAAAGCTTCTAGTGCCAACCCTGTGGTAAAAAGGGTGAGAATTAGTATGGAAATTAAGAAAGACTTTGAAGGGTTTGGGGCTAACCCTGAGAAGCCTATGCCAGTTGTGGAATCCATTGTGCCTACTTCAAAAACTAAGGAAATGTGTGCAAAGTGGGTTGAACTGCAAACCTTTATGGATGAAAATTACCCTAACAAAGCTATTGCAAGCCATGTTGGTGACTATTACAGTGACAATGTTGTGGCCCATTTTAGACAAATCGTAAAGGAACAGGAGGTACAGAGCTCTATGGACAGATTTGTTGTACGACAGAGGTCCAGTGACTCTCAAGCTGGTCCTAGTGGCATTAAAAGAAGAAGAGAAGTAACCCCAGAAAAGGACTTGCTACCTCAAGTCCTAATGGAAGGGGATACCCCTTCTAAACAATAAGTTCGACACTCTCCCCTCCTCCCATCCCATCAATCATCACCAGATCTTCATTAAAGGTAAGTGTCATGTATTCTATTGTTAGTAGAGTACTACTAACTGTGCATGTCTTCTTCAGTTTGTGTGCATTAAACTTAATATTTCATGTTTACCTGGAGTTTACCTGGAGAGAGTTCCGGGGGTCAATGCCCCCGCGGCCCGGTCTGTGACCAGGCCATGTGGTAAAACATTTTTTTTCATAGTACTTTTGGGTGTCTTGCACGGATTAATTTGATTTTCATTATTTCTTATGGGGAAAATTAATTTGCCTTCCGATAATTTTGGCATACGATGAGCTCTCAGGAACGGATTAATATCGTATACCGGGGGTCCACTGTAATTTGTCAATATATAGTAGGCTATATAGAAATGAAGGATATTTCTCTTATATTGGTACAGCACTGTTTTGGGCATTAGTGTCACCTTCTATAGAGGCTCTATGGTGTCACCCCCCCCTAAATGGTGTCACCTGGGGTGGCCTGCCCCCCTCCCCCCTTACAACGCCTCTGATTTAAGTTATCACTTCCAGCAGAAGCACACCATTTCCATTAAGGGGAGCTGGAGTGGAATTAATTTCCATTGGTTACCCGGAGTTTACCTGGAGAGGGCTTCGGGGGTCGACGTCACCGCGCACCGGTCTGAGACCAGTCCTCATGGTGGATCAGGGTCTGATCAACCAGGCTGTTACTGCTGGCTGCACGCAAGCTGACATATGAACCACAGCTCGGTTAGTCAGGTACTGACTTTAGGTGCTTGTCCAGTGCCTTCTTGAAGACAGTCAGGGGTCTATTGTAATCCCCCTTATGTATGCTGGGAGGCAATTGAACAGTCTTGGGCCCCGGACACTTATTGTGTTGTCTCTCAGTGTACTCGTGGCGCCTCTGCTTTTCATCGGGGGAATGTTCCATCTCCTGCCGAATCTTCTGCTTTCATAGGAAGTGATTTTCGTGTGCAGGTTTGGTACCAATCCCTCCAGGACCTTCCAAGTGTATACACCTACCATCCGACTTACAACCTGCTCGACATACGACCATTCAACTTACGACCTTGTTTTTTATGCCAAATTTCTGGGAAATAAACAACTGTTTGTGTTGTACACAGTGTTTATCCTAAACCTTACAGTATAAAATACAATACTAACAGCATAAAAAGTAAAGTAAAACATGGAATACCAAAATAAAACAATAAAATAAAGTCATTACAAAAATGTGAGGTTGATATTCAGTTGTAAAGTTTGGGTTGCGTCCATTTCAACTTATGACCGGTTTCTCAGAACCGAGCTCGGTCGTTAGTCGGATGGTACCTGTATTACCATGTACGTATCTCTCTCGCCTGCGTTCGAGGGAATACAGATCAAGGACTTTCAACCGTTCTCAGTAGTTTAGGTGCATTATCGTACTTATGTGTGCTGTGAAAGTTCTTTGTACACTCTCCAGGTCTGCAATGTCGCCAGCATTTCTGTTGCACATTTCTATTGAGGAGTGCTGTATCAGGCAGGTAGGAGACTCATCATTATGCATTGGGTAACTCCATCATTTTAGCAGTGCAGGGAAGAGTGTGAGGGAGGGTGAATGGGTTAGTGTATCTGGACACATACCATATGATTTTTGCTCTGTACTAATCACTCAGTTTTTCAACTTTTCATCACCCCATCCCATCTCTAGATGTTTATTATGGCATCCAGAAGTGCATGCAGGTGGTGATAGTGAAGCAAGGGAGAAAACTGAGTGTGAAACTATGCTTATATCAGAAAATTAGAGGTACAGTAATTGAGATGCTGAAGGGTGGTGCACATGTCATGGAGACAACGTGAATGTTTGGTGATTAATGATTGTTTAGGAATTTCAGTTGGCATGCTGTGAAACTGGAGTTTATTTAGTTGGGAATTAGCCATTATTATTGGGCACTTTTCAACATTATCCAACTCATTCTGCAATGATTCACAGTCATTCTGATATTTTACTTAAGATTTTTGCACACTTTACCAAATATAGTACAGTGGACCCTCGGTTATCAGCTATTCCACTTATCGGCCAACTCGGTTATCGACCGGTTTTTCGGCTTCCAGTTATCGGCCGCTATTTCACTTATCGGCCGTATTGGACGCGTCCACTGCCAGCTGCTCATGCATTCATGAGTCAGTGTGGCTGTGTATCTTGGCGAGTGAGGAAGTTTCTGCTCATTCATCCAAACATTTTGCTATAATCCATTGTTTTTGGTGGTTATTGATTAAGTGTAACTGTGAAATAAGTAACCATGGCCCCAAAGAAAGTTCCTAGTAAAGTTCCTTTGGTAAAGAAAGTAAGAAACATGATAGAATTCAAGGCAGGCAGGCATAGAGGCAAGGAGTGTAGCAGGCATGCCGGGAGTGTAGCAGGGATGCCGGGAGTGTAGCAGGCATGCAGGGAGTGTAGCAGGCATGCAGGGAGTGTAGCAGGCATGCAGGGAGCATAGCAGGCAGGGAGGGAGCATAGCAGGCAGGGAGGGAGCGTAGCAGGGAGTGCAACTGCGAAATAAGCCACCATGGGCCCAAAGAAACATGTTGCATATTATATAAAAACATGCAATGTTTATATGTGATGTTTGTTTAATAACAATCACTCTTCAGCACATTAAATGTCTTATTTTAGGTTAATATAGACATTTTCATTAATCCATCAATGATATTTTCTTCAAAATTATATAACACGTTACATAGCATATAGCATATAAACATGCAATATTTATATGCTATCGAGTGGAGAGTCAGGTGGAGAGTAAACACTACGTTTTCTCTGATTCAGCATTAGAGAAAACTGTAAATCTGGCGTCTCGCCCAGTAACCACCCATTGTATGCATTTGTTTACAATTCTCGGCATGAATTATTCATTACTTCTCCCATTGTTTATGATGGCATCTAAAGGTAGTTGTTAGAAACGATTAAACTTGGTGAACATGGTAATAATATGGCTGTGTAGTGTAATAATATGGCTGTCTAGTGTAATAATATGGCTGTCTAGTGTAATAATATGGCCGTCTAATGTAGCCCAGGGGAGGGGCTACATGCGTGTACTGTACCTACATCTACCACTTCCTACACTGACTTGCTACAAATAAATACTACTCACCTCTTGCCCTACATTAAGACTACAAATATTTTAAGGTAAGTAATGAATGTTTTCTGTATGTAAAACTGTAGTCAATCTTCAAAAAATGTATTTTTTGCTAATATTTTTGGATGTCTGAAATGGATTAAATGGATTTACAATACATTGATTCTTACGAGAAATATTTCGGTTTTAGGCTGACCTGGAATGGATTACAGCTGATAACCGAGGGTCCATTGTATGTATTTATTTACTTTTGTGTTGGCATGAATGTAATTAAATGATGCATCATAGAACATTTTTCACATATTAAAGAATGACTCCTCTGTTCCAGTATCCTGTTTAAAATCACATACATAATACGTTTAGTGATGTCTATGCCTCATAATAAGTAGAAATTTTGTATTCATATTTTGTTCTTTAGATTAGATCTACAGGTTAGATCTTCTAAAGTTGAATTGAAGTGATTATTTGTTTCCTTTGCAGGACAAAGTCCGCATAGTGAAGGTCCTTATCAAGGATGACCCAGACCAGGACATCAGCCCATATTTCCCAGTGGTTGCGGAGGCTTTCAAAGAGTGTCGAGGTGGGTCCTTGTGGTAATGGAAGAGCCATCCTACTTAAGGGTCAGTGAGTGTTTAAGATGGGTTCACTCTGTTTCTGGGGTTGCTGATAACATTTTGAATCAGGATAAAGTGTCAGACAAATGGAAACTAACAAATATTGCCACTATAAAAAAAAAGTTGAAAATGAAGACCCTTTGCAGAAACATTATGAAAAAAGTCAAAAGAGAAAAGTGGATAAAATATCTGGAAAACAAGCAACTACCAGTACTTTCAAACAGTCTAGCTTTGCCTGAGCATAGTTTAGTATATCAAGTCTATTGGGCTACTATAGTGTATTTTTTTTTTTTTTATTATCACACTGGCCGATTCCCACCAAGGCAGGGTGGCCCGAAAAAGAAAAACTTTCACCATCATTCACTCCATCACTGTCTTGCCAGAAGGGTGCTTTACACTACAGTTTTTAAACTGCAACACCCCTCCTTCAGAGTGCAGGCACTGTACTTTCCATCTCCAGGACTCAAGTCCGGCCTGCCGGTTTCCCTGAACCCCTTCATAAATGTTACTTTGCTCACACTCCAACAGCACGTCAAGTATTAAAAACCATTTGTCTCCATTCACTCCTATCAAACACTCTCACGCATGCCTGCTGGAAGTCCAAGCCCCTCGCACACAAAACCTCCTTTACCCCCTCTCTCCAACCTTTCCTAGGCCGACCCCTACCCTGCCTTCCTTCCACTACAGACTGATACACTCTTGAAGTCATTCTGTTTCGCTCCATTCTCTCTACATGTCCGAACCACCTCAACAACCCTTCCTCAGCCCTCTGGACAACAGTTTTGGTAATCCCGCACCTCCTCCTAACTTCCAAACTACGAATTCTCTGCATTATATTCACACCACACATTGCCCTCAGACATGACATCTCCACTGCCTCTCCTCACTGCAACATTCATCACCCATGCTTCACACCCATATAAGAGCGTTGGTAAAACTATACTCTCATACATTCCCCTCTTTGCCTCCAAGGACAAAGTTCTTTGTCTCCACAGACTCCTAAGTGCACCACTCACTCTTTTCCCCTCATCAATTCTATGATTCACCTCATCTTTCATAGACCCATCCGCTGACACGTCCACTCCCAAATATCTGAATACATTCACCTCCTCCATACTCTCTCCCTCCAATCTGATATTCAATCTTTCATCACCTAATTTTTTTGTTATCCTCACAACCTTACTCTTTCCTGTATTCACCTTTAATTTTCTTCTTTTGCACACCCTACCAAATTCATCCACCAATCTCTGCAACTTCTCTTCAGAATCTCCCAAGAGCACAGTGTCATCAGCAAAGAGCAGCTGTGACAACTCCCACTTTGTGTGTGATTCTTTATCTTTTAACTCCACGCCTCTTGCCAAGACCCTCGCATTTACTTCTCTTACAACCCCATCTATAAATATATTAAACAACCACGGTGACATCACACATCCTTGTCTAAGGCCTACTTTTAGTGTAATAGACATAAATTATACAGGAATAAAACTCATGATCCAAATAGTCACTCATAGTTCAAAATAACATTTGATAAGAGCTCCTCATGAAAGGCTAGTCTAGAAACTACATGTTATGCTTAATGAAACCTATGACCTGCTAACACATTATGTAGAATGCTCATATAACCACATCCAGAATCAATACTGGTCTCAGAATTTAATGGAAGTACTTGGGCATCACTGTAAATACTGTATGCCATCAGAGGATCATAGACTTTTATACAGTGTATGCTGTAGTAATAATAAATGGGATTCAAGGATGACCCAGAATGGTAAATAGCAAAATGCTGTCAAAATTATATACACACATGGGCATCATTGGTGAAGCTGTAACAAGATACTGTATGTAACTTATAGTGCAAAATGTGCATGTGGATAAGTGCTCCCAAACTCTTGGTGCTAAACAAAATTGTTACTTCAGTACACAAGGATATGGACTGTCTTACATTATGGGAATTACACACCGATGAGCACTTCTAAACAGTTGAATCAATGGCACATGGGCACCACTGGTCCCAGAGGAAGATGCAGTTTTCAGACAAGGCTTGAAAACTCCATTCCTGTAAACAAAAGCAAGTACAGTAATCACTTGTACATCTGTAAAACTCTGTATGGCTAAATATGGAAGAGGGTGTGTGATGAATACATCTTTTCTCTTGTACCTAAAACTAAGTAATTAAACACATACATAATTGAAACAATATAGGTCACTGCACAAATTCAAAATATAAAGATGCCCAGGAAAAAAAAAGACCACCCTTGAGGTTGATTTAGTTGACCTTGAAAGCTTCAAAGTTGAGTCATTAATGCTAAAATGTCCAGGACAAAGCTTTTTTTATATGTTGTAAGTTGTACCCTTCTTCCATTCCTCTAAACATCCCTTTTAACATACAGTGTGTGGCAAGAATGGCATGGCAGTGGTGTGCCGGGTAGGAGTGAGCAGATCTGCATCTCTGGCTCTTGCAGCACTTGTGGGACAAACTGATTTAAAGCAGATGACTCTTAGACAGGCCTACTATACCATCAAGGCTGCCAGGCCCTTCGTCAGACCCAACTATGGATTCTTCTCACAGGTTAGAAACTTACATGTCTGTTACTCTTGTAAACTTTTTTTGGTTAAATGAGCCTTTTTCAAGGTTCTCTTGAGATAAAAGATTCTTTTGGGATGAAAGCCTCTTGGCTGACTCAGGATTGCCTTACTGTGGTAGTGGTGTTTGAGAGGCCTGAGTGTCTTAATAACCCAGCTACCCATTTTTTTGGGCCTAAATAACAGGGAGATCCCCACTTTCATCAAATGTTTCTGAGAAATGAATTATTCATATGGTCTGAACTGCAGCAAATGGACTTTAAATTGTTTAGATCATATTGTTATTATGAATAGGACTTTTGGTATAATGTATACTAGTTATTTTTTATTTTTATTAACACATTGGCCGATTCCCACCAAGGCAGGGTGGCCCAAAAAAGAAAAACTTTCATCATCATTCACTTCATCACCGTCTTGCCAGAGAGGTGCTTTACACTACAGTTTATAAAACTGCAACATTAACACCCCTCCTTCAGAGTACAGACACTGTACTTCCCATCTCCAGGACTCAAGTCCAGCCTGCCGGTTTCCCTGAATCCCTTCATAAATGTTACTTTGCTCACACTCCAACAGCACATCAATTATTAAAAACCATTTGTCTCCATTCACTCGTATCAAATACACTCACACATGCTTGCAGGAAGTCCAAGCCCCTTGCACACAAAACCTCCTTTACCCCCTCCGTCCAACCTTTCCTATGCCGACCCCTACCGACAACTTGAAGAATTGAGACACTTGTGCAACATACAGGAATCTTTATTGAAGAAACATTTCACTACACAGTGGCTTCATCAGTCCAATACAAAGTAGAAATGGATAAGGAGAGGAGAAGTTTGAGGTAATCAGTCCCTCAACCTGGAATCGATGTGTTCAGTCCATCACTCTTGTAGGAAGTACAGCCACTTCCTACTTCCTACGCCACTGTGTAGTGAAACATTTCTTCAATAAAGATTCCCATATGTTGCACAAGTGTCTCAATTTTTCAAGTTGTCGGTTTTCAAAACAATTCAACATATCTGTCAGATACTGCAACATCATGGGATCTTGGTACAAAGACTTCAACGCTTGTCCAACCTTAGGACGACGACCTACTTACACTAGTGGCAGGTCCCACTGTGATCCCGCCTCCTCCTGCTTCGACTCATCTGACTGCAGTATATAAGCCACCTCTCTGGCCCTATGCTGTACTTCCTACAAGAGTGATGGACTGAACACATTGATTCCAGGTTGAGGGACTGATTACCTCAAACTCCTCCTCTCCTTACCGATTTCTACTTTGTATTGGACTGATAAAGACACTGTGTGGCGAAATGTTTCTTCAATAAAGATTCCCATATGTTGCACAAGTGTCTCAATTCTTCAAGTTGTCGGTTTTCAAATCCATTCAACACACAAGGAGAAGGCTGGAAGAAGTGAAGATGTCATGTCCGAGAGCAATGTGCGGTGTGAATATAATGCATAGTTTGGAAATTAGGAGGAGGTGCTTTGTTGCTGAAAGTATTATCCAGAGGGCTGAGGAGGGGTTGTTGAGGTGTTTCAGACATTTAGAGAGGATGGAGCAAAGTAGTGGAAGGAAGGCTGGGTAGGGGTCAGCCTAAGAAAGGTTGGAGGGAGAGAGTAAAGGAGGTTTTGTGTACGAGGGTTTTGAACTTTCAGCAAGTGTGCACGAGCGTGTTAGATAGTAATGAGTGGAGACGAATGGTTTGTATGGCTTGATGTGCTGTTGGAGTGTGAGCAAAGTAACATGTAGGGATTCAGGGAAACCGGCAAGCCAGACTTGAATCCTGAAGGTGGAAAGTACAGTGCCTGCAAACTGAAGGAAGGGTGCTGGTGTTGCAGTTTTTTAACTGTAGTGTAGGAGTGCCTCTGGCAAGACAGTGATAGAGTGAATGATGATGAAAGCGTTTCTTCTTTTCGGGTTACCCTGCCTTGGTAGGAAACGGCCGATGTGTTAATAAAAAAAAAAAGTATCACTGTATTCAACTTTTTTTACTTTCATAGTCATTCAGTTACTGTCTTGTGAGAAGCATGTTGACATTAGAGTTCAGATGACCCTCCAAACTGTAACATCCCCACACCACCTTCAGAGCCTAAATCCAGCTAAACAATTTTCCTGAATTCCTTCATAAATGTTACTTTGCTCACGCTCCAACAGCGCATCAAAACTCAACAATAACTTCCACTCCTATAATATGCTCACACAAGCCTATTGGTTGTCCAAGGCCAACCTGTTTCATGTGTGATAGAAATGATGAAGAATTTGGTGCTATGTGTAATAAGGATGTAATCTTCAAAATTTCTGTACAAGTAAGCGATGAAAAGTTTCGGTTGGAGTTTGAATTTTTTATTGGTTTAACTTGCACTATAAAATATTTTTTTGCAAAATAATATAAATGGCCATAGGGCTTAGTGAGGTGTTAACTGGTAATTGCTTAAATACTAATACAGTACACTATAAGTGTCCTGCTGGTGATGCCATATTTATGACCTCAGACATTAATATATCTGCACTAACAACATTGCAAATGATCTGGAAAAATCATGTATGTATTACTGTACTTGGTAAGGTAAAAGCAAAGCATATTGTTTTGTGAGGACTTTTCTTATTATTGATTATATGGAATTTGGCATTTAAATGTTCCATTTTCATTCTTGCAGCTGATCACGTATGAGACCGAGGTACGAGGACGAGCAACAGTAATGATGCAGGATTCACCATATGAGGCTGGGGAGAAAGTTCCTGATGTGTACCTAGAAGAGTTGAAGCAAAGTATGGGTTCCACTTTCACCTCTTTCTTTCCCTTGTGACGGTGGGCTGCAGCAGGACTCATACTGGTGGCTCTGCTGGCATGGGCCCGGGCTACACCTTAACTATACTTTCTCCTGACTTCTCAATTCACAGAAACCAAAGGCTCATGTATTTAGCATTATTGTTACTGTTATCAATACACAGCTTTCACTTGTGTCCGAATATTCGTTCATAGGATGGTTGATATTTATTCCTGATATTATTCATTTTATTTAAGTGTTGATAATGTACAGTGGTACCCTGACTTACGAGTTTAATTCATTCCATGACCAAGCTCGTAACTCAGTTTGCTCATATATCAAATCAAGTGGAATTCCTGGCTCTCGGGAGGCAGGAGAAAATACTTGAATATAACACTAATGTCAACTCTGTGGCTTATTTATCTATCACAATTGATTTGGTATGACATAATAAACAATACAAATAACAGAAACATGATACATACTCTAGAATGAATAAAATATCATTATGTGATGAGTGGTGGCAGCCACTCTCAAGGTAAAAATAATTATCGCTCTGACCATATCTTCCCATTCATGCTCTTCTGAGGTCTTATTATAAGAAAAAATGGAGTGTTTGTTAGGCTAACTGCACTAGATCACTAGTTTCATTAGGAAAACACTGAAACAAAAGCAATTTTCTTGTGTTTTTCTATGATTTCATGCTTTAATTCAGTGGACATCATCATCCTCTTCTTCTCAGCACTGTCCTTTGCACTTACTTTCTTAGGACCCATGGTTAGAAAAAAGAAATTTGTTAAAATATGTAACTGCACAAAAAGCACAAAACGCTGGGATGCTGGGCAGATGTTGTGGCGTTTGCTGTGCCAGCTAATGGCGGTGTATCTGAAGCTTGCTTGTAACTTGGATTTTGGCTCACAACTCAAAGCAAAAAATTGACTGACTGGCGGCTCGTAACTCATAAGTTGGGGCACTCGTAAGTCAAGGTACCACTGTATTATGAAAATGCCAGTTAATTTTTTAGCACACTGGTTATCTCCCAATAAGGTAGAGTGACCCATAAAAAAAGAAACACATTCACCATCATTCATTCAGTAGCTGTCCTGCCATAAGTATTCAGACGTAATAATTCAAATGATCCTTCACACTGAAACATTCCCAGGAAACCCCTCATTTAGAATGCAGGCACTGTACTTCTCACCTCCAGCATATGAGTCTAGCTAATTGGTTTACCTGATTCTCTTCATAAATGTTACTTTAGTTAAACTCCAATAACATGTCAATCCATATAATCAAATTATCTCCATTCACAAGCCTGCTGGATGCTCAAGCCCCTAGCACTCAAAGCCTACTTTACCCCTTAACTCCAGCCCTTCCTAGGATGACCCCTGCTCCTCCTTCCTTCCAGTTCTGATTTATGCACTCTGTTGGTCATCCTGTTCTGCTCCATCCTCTAAATTCTCATCCCACCTCATCACTCTGAATTATATATTTGGTAACCCCACACCATATAGTTTCTGTGCTCAAAATTTTCTACATAATTATACGACACATTGCCTCAAACATGATGTCTCTGCTGCCTTCAGCCTCCTTGCTCCAAATTTTAAAGCTGATGTTTCACACCCATGTAACAGTGTTAGTACCACTGTACTTGGGCATATCCCCTTCATAGATAAAGTTTTTTTTGTCTCCTCAGATACCTCAGTGATTATCCAACAATTGATTATTTTGTAGTTTACATTATCCAGCAGTCTTGTTTGATGTAGTTAGTGCTAAGAAGGACTGTTTAAGAAAAAGGAGCCATACACAGGTGATGTGTTCCTCTCTGGAAAGGTTGAAATTCCATCACCACCTCTTTTCCTGAGAGGGCTGGATAATTGATGATTTACTGTACCTACATATCTCACTCGTTCCTGATGTCATTGTGGTGTATTCATTAAAACTTGTAAAGTTATAACTGCCAAGACAGAATATGAAACCTCAGTATAAAGCAGAGGTTATTGAGCAGTGAATACAGTATTAACAGTTTTATTAAAGCTGTGAAAAATTTGCTTGGTATTTTGCCTTCGACTATATACAGTAGTTTATTATTAAAAATGTTTAATACTGTAACATCTGTCAGTAATATATATGAACTCTCATATGTGTTTCGATATGATTTAACAAGTTTTCTTTCTTGAATCCTTATAATTTTTTTTTTTTACTTTATCTGTGCATATTTTTGTTAATTCTGTTTTCTGTCAACAGTTCTTGCATGGACTTTGGAGTTTCTATATATACTCAAGTTATTGTCTTACCATAACATTTCTTTGTGTTTATTCTGTTTGTTTTATAAAGCTATTCTTACTGATAAAGTATTTATCCATCATTCTGTAACCTGCAATATACCTGGAGGGTATACATGGAGGATTGTTTCAGGGGTCAGTGCCCCTGTGGCTCAGTCCATGCCTTATACACATTCTGATAATATTGCCTTGTCTTTCTCCCTTTTCATTTTTGCAAACCTTTTATAATCATTGTGAACATGCTAGTAGATTCAGGGAATTCGCTATTTTTCTGTCTTGTTTCTTAATCACTTCTCTCTGGTTTTTGTTTTCTTCACAAAAACTTACCAGTTCTTAGGAATTGCCATGGGTAAATAAAGTGCAGGTTTTTCTTGTTTGTATGCTCTTTTTGCCTTTTTTTTTATTTTGAATATGCAGAAATGTGTACAAAAAAAAATAAAAACTTTCTAAAATAAATTTATAATACTGCATAATAATGATATATTGTATAATAATAACTAAATGTATATTTTTGTGTAGACAGTGGCTCAGAAGTGGTGATATTTTTGGAGGTGCCAATTATTTTTCAAGTTTTTGTGATAGAGCATATATTTTTGGTATGGAATGGGAACTATATTGTGTTGCATATAATATATGGATGATATTTTAGTGATGAGAGAAGACTAATTAGCATATAATGAGTAATAGATTTAGATGTTATCAAAAGATCATTTAAAAATTAATGCATATGATGATTAGTAGAGATACATTGGAAAATAATCATTGAATATATGTTGCCAAATAGATTGCTTCCAAGGAAGTGAGGGCTAGTGGTCAGTTGTCAGGAGGAGCTGTGATTAGCAGTTATGTGCATTTCTTCATTGAATTGTTGTATTTTCAATACACCACTGTGAAGCACTGTTTTGGATTACTTTGGGAATGTTGTAAAATTATTGTTTACATATAAACCTTGATGTGAATTTGTTTTTTAATTGCCTTTTATAGTAATTTTAGTAAAATCTAATTTTTAATTGTATATCTCCCATTTCCAAACAAAACGAGGTGACCCAGGTAAGAAAACATACCCATTATTCATTCACTATTCACATAATCATTCCTTACACAGATAACCCACACATAACCATTCCTTAGCTGTCTTTCCAGAAGTTTCAAACATCCTGGCAATCATTTAAATGTGGGTATTTAGTAGCCGCTGCCCAGCGGTGAGAGGAGCGACTCTCATTGCTGAGGTCCAGGGATTAAAACCTGGACTTTAATATAAAAAAATTTGTATGGTAGTAGGTTGGTAGACAACAACCACCCAGGGAGGTACTACCGTCCTGCCAAGTGAGTGTAAAACGAAAGCCTGTAATTGTTTTACATGATGATAGGATTGCTGGTGTCTTTTGTCAGTCTCATAAATATGCAAGATTACAGGCATGTCTTGCTACTTCTACTTACACTTAGGTCACACTACACATACATGTACACGTTTATTTATACACACTCATCGGAGTTTTCTTTGATTTTATCTTAATAGTTCTTGGTCTTATTACTTTTCCTTTTATATCCATGGGGAAGTGGAATAAGAATCTTTCCTCCGTAAGCCATGCGTGTTGTAAAAGACGACTAAAATGCCGGGAACAATGGGCTAGTAACCCCTTTTCCTGTAAAGATTACTAAAAAGAATAAGAAGAAGAAAATTGTCAAAGTGGGAAGTCTGAATGTGCGTGGATGTTGTGCAAATGATAAGAAAGAGATGATTGTGGATGTTATGAATGAAAAGAAACGATGTCCTGGCTTTAAGTGAAACAAAGCTGAAGGGGGTGGGAGAGTTTCAATGGAGAGGAATAAATGGGATTAGGTCAGGGGTTTCAAATAGAGTTAGAGCTAAAGAAGGAGTAGCAATAATGTTGAAGGATAAGCTATGGCAGGAAAAGAGGGACTACAAATGTATAAATTCAAGGATTATGTGGAGTAAAATAAGGATTGGATGTGAAAAGTGGGTTATAGTAAGTGTGTATGCACCTGGAGAAGAGAGAAGTGTAGAGCAGAGAGAGAGATTCTGGGAAATGTTGAGTGAATGCGTGGGGAGTTTTGAATCAAGTGTGAGAGTAATGGTGGTTGGGGATTTCAATGCTAAAGTGGGTAAAAATGTTATGGAGGGAGTAGTAGGTAAATTTGGGGTGCCAGGGGTAAATGTAAATGGGGAGCCTTTAATTGAGCTATGTGTAGAAAGAAATTTGGTAATAAGTAATACATATTTTATGAAAAAGAGGATAAATAAATTTACAAGGTATGATGTAGCACGTAATGAAAGTAGTAGTTTGTTAGATTATGTATTGGTGGATAAAAGGTTGATGGGTAGGCTCCAGAATGTACATGTTTATAGAGGGGCAACTGATATATCAGATCATTATTTAGTTGTAGCTACAGTTAGAGTAAGAGGTAGATGGGAAAAGAGGAAGGTGGCAACAACAAGTAAGAGGGAGGTGAAACTGTATAAACTAAGGGAGGAGGAAGTTCGGGTGAGATATAAGCGACTATTGGCAGAAAGGTGGGCTAGTGCAAAGATGAGTAGTGGGGGGGTTGAAGAGGGTTGGAATAGTTTTAAAAATGCAGTATTAGAATGTGGGGCAGAAGTTTGTGGTTATAGGAGGGTGGGGGCAGGAGGAAAGAGGAGTGACTGGTGGAATGATGAAGTAAAGGGTGTGATAAAAGAGAAAAAGGTAGCTTATGAGAGGTTTTTACAAAGCAGAAGTGTTATAAGAAGAGCAGAGTATATGGAGAGTAAAAGAAAGGTGAAGAGAGTGGTGAGAGAGTGCAAAAGGAGAACAGATGATAGAGTGGGAGAGGCACTGTCAAGAAATTTTAATGAAAATAACCCTTGTGGCTTAGCGCTTCTTTTTGATTATAATAATAATTAATGAAAATAAGAAAAAAATTTGGAGTGAGTTAAACAAGTTAAGAAAGCCTAGGGAAAGTATGGATTTGTCAGTTAAAAACAGAGTAGGGGAATTAATAGATGGGGAAAGGGAGGTATTAGGTAGATGGCGAGAATATTTTGAGGAACTTTTAAATGTTGAGGAAGAAAGGGAGGCAGTAATTTCATGCACTGGCCAGGGAGGTATACGATCTTTTAGGAGTGAAGAAGAGCAGAATGTAAGTGTGGTGGAGGTACGTGAGGCATTACGTAGAATGAAAGGGGGTAAAGCAGCTGGAACTGATGGGATCATGACAGAAATGTTAAAAGCAGGGGGAGATATAGTGTTGGAGTGGTTGGTACTTTTGTTTAATAAATGTATGAAAGAGGGGAAGGTACTTAGGGATTGGCGGAGAGCATGTATAGTCCCTTTATATAAAGGGAAAGGGGACAAAAGAGATTGTAAAAATTATAGAGGAATAAGTTTACTGAGTATACCAGGAAAAGTATACGGTAGGGTTATAATTGAAAGAATTAGAGGTAAGACAGAATGTAGGATTGCAGATGAGCAGGGAGGCTTCAGAGTGGGTAGGGGATGTGTAGATCAAGTGTTTACATTGAAGCATATATGTGAACAGTAGATAAAGGTAGGGAAGTTTTTATTGCATTTATGGATTTAGAGTCCCCTCAAGGAAGGTTCCTTGATGTTGGTGAGGGGCTCTTGATTTAGGGAATTGGATCTGTGCTCCAGTTCCCCAAATTAAGCCTGAATGCCTTCCATATCCCCCCCAGGCGCTGTATAATCCTCCGGGTTTAGCGCTTCCCCTTTGATTATAATAATAATTATGGATTTAGAAAAGGCATATGATAGAGTGGATAGAGGAGCAATGTGGCAGATGTTGCAAGTATATGGAATAGGTGGTAAGTTACTAAATGCTGTTAAGAGTTTTTATGAGGATAGTGAGGCTCAGGTTAGGGTGTGTAGAAGAGAGGGAAAATACTTCCCGGTAAAAGTAGGTCTTAGACAGGGATGTGTAATGTCACCATGGTTGTTTAATATATTTATAGATGGGGTTGTAAAAGAAGTAAATGCTAGGGTGTTCGGGAGAGGGGTGGGGTTAAATTATGGGGAATCAAATTCAAAATGGGAATTGACACAGTTACTTTTTGCTGATGATACTGTGCTTATGGGAGATTCTAAAGAAAAATTGCAAAGGTTAGTGGATGAGTTTGAGAATGTGTGTAAAGGTAGAAAGTTGAAAGTGAACATAGAAAAGAGTAAGGTGATGAGGGTATCAAATGATTTAGATAAAGAAAAATTGGATATCAAATTGGGGAGGAGGAGTATGGAAGAAGTGAATGTTTTCAGATACTTGGGAGTTGACGTGTCGGCGGATGGATTTATGAAGGATGAGGTTAATCATAGAATTGATGAGGGAAAAAAGGTGAGTGGTGCGTTGAGGTATATGTGGAGTCAAAAAACGTTATCTGTGGAGGCAAAGAAGGGAATGTATGAAAGTATAGTAGTACCAACACTCTTATATGGATGTGAAGCTTGGGTGGTAAATGCAGCAGCGAGGAGACTGTTGGAGGCAGTGGAGATGTCCTGTCTAAGGGCAATGTGTGGTGTAAATATTATGCAGAAAATTCGGAGTGTGGAAATTAGTAGAAGGTGTGGAGTTAATAAAAGCATTAGTCAGAGGGCAGAAGAGGGGTTGTTGAGGAGGTTTGGTCATTTAGAGAGAATGGATCAAAGTAGAATGACATGGAAAGCATATAAATCTATAGGGGAAGGAAGGAGGGGTAGGGGTCGTCCTCGAAAGGGTTGGAAAGAGGGGGTAAAGGAGGTTTTGTGGGCGAGGGGCTTGGACTTCCAGCAAGCGTGCATGAGCATGTTAGATAGGAGTGAATGGAGACGAATGATACTTGGGACCTGACGATCTGTTGGAGTGTGAGCAGGGTAATATTTAGTGAAGGGATTCAGGGAAACCGGTTATTTTCATATAGTCGGACTTGAGTCCTGGAAATGGGAGGTACAATGCCTGCACTTTAAAGGAGGGGTTTGGGATATTGGCAGTTTGGAGGGATATGTTGTGTATCTTTATACGTATATGCTTCTAAACTGTTGTATTCTAAGCACCTCTGCAAAAACAGTGATAATGTGTGAGTGTGGTGAAAGTGTTGAATGATGAAAGTATTTTCTTTTTGGGGATTTTCTTTCTTTTTTGGGTCACCCTGCCTCGGTGGGAGATGGCCGACTTGTTGAAAAAAAAAAAAATTAAAATTTTTGCTATTGATTTATTTACAGAGTGACTGATATTGGACTTTATTTTCAGCAGTTAGTTTTATCTTGTACACTATACTATCATTGAGCAGTTGGCTTTATCTTGGGCAATATACTATCATGGAGCAGTTGGTTTTATCTTGGGCAATATACTATCATGGAGCAGTTGGTTTTATCTTGTTCACTGTACTATCACAGAGCAGTTAGTTTTATCTTGTGCACTGTACTATCATGGAGCAGTTAATTTTAATTTGTGCACTGTGCTATCATGGAAATGCACTATCACAGAATGCCCTACCGTTACAGTAATACATTATATCTTAGTTGCAACATTGCTAGACATGATACTAGATCATTGCAGCCTTGGTGCTCCCTCCAACTTTTTATTGTTGACTGGCCAATTACTATATGATCCCTGTGGGTTTGGCATCTCCCCATTAATATAGTATATAATAATTTTAACTTGTGCACTCTACTGTCATGGTAATTAACTATAACAGAATATATTGTTACAGTAATGAATTAGATCTTATTTTAACTGTTCCATGATAGGTATGAGCAAGGTACATATTATTTTGTAAAGGGATCCAGGGAAACCAGTTAGACAGACTTGAGTCCTGGAGGTGGGAAGTACAATGCCTGCACTCTAAAGAAGGGGTTTGGGATATTTGCTGTTTAGAGGGACATCTAAACTGTTGTATCTGCACATCTCTGGCAAGACTGATAGTGTGAATGATGGTGAAAGCATTTCTTTTTTGGGTCACCCTGCCTTG